TTTTTTAGTCGACTAGACCGATAGTCCTCTGCAATTAAAATCAACCAGACCGATTAATCCAATTAGGCCAATTTTTAAAACATTGTATACATGGAATATACAATGGACATTATATATACTACGTAGTACTTCGGTCCAATATATAAGATGCATTTGATTTGGTGCAGGTTTAAGAAAAAATGATACATGAATTATTTTACAATTCTAACCTCTAAAAAGTATGAAAAGGTAAAACGAGTCCACAAAAAAGTAAAAGCTGAAATGATAGATAAAGGGAGCTGAAATGATAGATAAAGGGATGAGTAGGAAAATAAAAATTAATGGAATCCAATTTACAATAGTGATCATATTTTTAGGACAATTCAAAAATATTTTTGACAAGTGTATCTTACACGATGAAACGAATGGAGTAATACTTAATAAGGACTGCAGATGAGAAAAATGTAAAATAGTTTATCTAAATGACCTATTTTTATTGAAGTTGAGTAATTTTAAAATCACTTATTTGTTCATTTTATCCATAGATGAAATGTCTAAACAAACAAGTATCGGAGGGAAAAGGAGTACATGCTACTTTACACGGTTGAACTACCTCATAAAATATCTATTGTGCATTTGTGAATTACGGAGTATTTGTGATACGTATATTTGTCAAAGGATTTTTAGAAATTTAATCGGATGTGGACTTGGAACTTTGGCAGGTAGCCATCAGCCATTTCACGATAGACTTGTTCTAAAGCTACCAAGGGCGGCGAATGACAAAGACCCATCACCATTTGCTAATATTGCTTTTCATAAACTAAAAAGAAGTGGAATCGTCCATTTCAAATGACTCCACCGCTCCACGCTTCAATCGATCGATTAGGGGAGGAGTAAGCATGTTTTTACTTGCATTTATTTCAAATTCAGATCGGACTAGAATAGAGGTAGAGGTAGGATTAGGGGGTAGGGATGGGCACATCTAGCAGTAGCGGGTGGGGGTAGGGATCATGGAGTATGGAGATGAGTAGGGAGTAGGACCGATAGGGGTAAGGGTAAGGTTTGAGGGCATGGGGTGAGGTAAGGGTTGGTAGGGTAGGGGTAGGACCAGGTAGGGGTGGGGAAGGTTAGTGGTGGCGGTAAGGTAAGAGTAAGTGTAAACACATAAACTGAAAAAAAATTTAGAATGGAACTTAATAAATAGATCGGGGGTGTTATGCTTATTAAGTGACACTTTAAGCACATTTTCCGGTTAGTAAGCAGTTTTTTAAGAAGTTTGCATGTTTACTTCACATGTTTTACTAATATGACTATTTTTAGCAGCGAAAGCGAACACTAGTATTTAAGCAAACACATACCATAATATGTATGACACAAGGTCATCCAACATCATCCAACATTGATATGTAACTATATATTTTTGCCAAAAGACATTTTAACACTGGGTGATAATGTGAGCACCCATAATTTTGACCAACTCAACTAGCCCCCACTTTATGACTCTTCTTTTACCAATCTATATGCACTCTTCACCAAGTAGATTATTCCCCCCTCCACAAAGGGGTTTCCTAAAAATAAAACCTCTATCACACACCTCAAAGATTGCATGAAGCAAATCCATATTCCAAGACCCTATCGTACTAAAAGGAAGTCAATATGATCTCCTTTAGGCGCATGTGGCGTTCGAATAAAAATTTCACCATATCGAGAAAATGAGCTCTCCCCATATTTTCACACCCAAATCATCCCGGCCTCACCTATGTACAAAACACACACCTAAACATTTCTTCTTCCCAAATCATCACAAGTAAAATAGATGAATTATTTCGGAGCTATGCTCGCATAAATCTAGCATTCAACATTATTGTGCCTTGATATATTTTAGATACATTGTACTGGACTCACACTAATAAGCCAACGATCTTACTTTTCTGATGGTGCAACATTAAACAAATGAAGCCTCCAATGCCTAAAAGGCTCAAACTCCACACCTTTTTAACCATACAACACACCCCTCGACTCTTTGAGGATGATTACACATACATGATATAGCGACATCTTCCCCCCCCCCGCACATAATCATTATGGAAACTCACCATATCGGACGCATGAGTCATGATGTATAAAAGTGCTTGTAGGAAGCTTAATCCATTATGTCTAAAAATGCTTATATAAAAGTGAAAGGTTATCGAGTGCGTATAAAAATCACCTACTTTACCTCCTTCCCACTAACCTTCCTTATCAGTTTCATGTTGTACCCGCAATACTTTCCCTCATATACCCTCCAATACAAGTATACAACCTAGTGAAATGAATCCCTAGCCACCACCACCGGTCATTTACCATTTAATTTATTCATATGTCATAGTCTTTTCACACCATTATAAAAACAATTTGATTGACTTGACAATCATCCTTAAAACACGAACTCCTTCACTGGCCTTTACACGATCATTTCAGATCAAAAGGAACTGAAATCGGATTCATACAGAAAATTAATTAAAGCACAACCTTGTTTAGACAAAAAAAAGGTGAACTTGATTGGAAACAAAAGTAATGAGTTGATTTGATTTGAAGCGTGTTACAAGTTGTGACATTGGAGTCTAACCGTTTAAATTACTACAACCTTATTCAAATCTTATCTTGTTTTTACTATTACTAAAACGTTTCTTTTATGGTAATTAAACTAATTAGTTATTTCAAACTAATATACTTTATTGAGCTAGCATTTCAATTTCATCGATCATTTTTATCAAATTTCAAAAGTATTTATGATGATGTAATGATTTCAACTTTCGATCCGTCTTACAAAGGCCATCTCAAACATAGAAACCATTCAAGAAGTTCAAAATACTACGCAGTATCTTTTAACCCCACGCGGACATACCCAATTAAAAGTCCGTTTTTGTGATTGTTTTGATCATTTTCTCCGCCAAACATATAACTTTTAATTTCACACATCGGGTTGTATAATAATCAAAATAATTAAAATTGAATTTAGTTTTTTGACTGATTTGGATGAAATTATTGTACATGATCATTTTAGCTATTTTTTTAATATATATTTTTTGTTTTCCTAATAAATTATATTTTAAATATATAGTAAAATTTTTCATAGTTCAACTACTTCAGTCAAAACTTTAACAATTTTAGCATATGCAACCGATTCAACCAATTTCAATTACCAAATAGACTCTAACTTTAAAAAAATATAGACTCTAAACAATTTTGTTCCTCTCTAAGACCATTGTAGTGAAAGGTTTTAAGAAGAGTCCAAAAAGTTAAATGTGGAACTTTTGGACTCCTATTTACTTACATTGGAGTAGTAAAATGGGGTTTAAAAATGGAAAGGGGAGTGGAAGAATTCAAAAATAGAGGAGTTTTAAAACCAAAAAGAAAAGAGGTGACATCATGCTGACGTCATCTCTGCTTAATAAAATCACTCTTTTTTTTAAAAGACTACTCCCTCTGTCCCATTTATATTGTCCCGTTTTACCTTTTCGGGAAGTCCCACTTAAATTGTCTCATACCATATTTGGCAAAGTTTGCGTGACTCTAGATCATTCTTACTTTATTCTTACTTTATCAATTAATATCAACCACACAAATCCACTTTTCTTAATAACCGTGCCACCCTCTTCCGGGACAATATAAATGGGACGGAGGTAGTATAACTTTTTTGTTTGTGGTCCAAATTTTATGAAATATATATCAAAATTTGTAAATTTTTACGATCTTTCATATGACATCAATATTGTATATATATAATTTATTCAACTGCCAAAGAGTTGTGTAGGCTTAAAAAATCGAAACACAAATTTTTAATTCACTGCGTCTCCACAAATAACTAAATATTACATAAACTCATTTTACTACTTTATAAAAAGTGAAAATAGTAATAAAAAAATAAACGATTTTTTTTTAATTTAACATCAAAATGTGTATTTTTTAATTTCATAATAACTCTTCATAAATAAAAACAAAGAAAAATATTTCTTATAATAATTTAATTAATGTATTACTAAATTGTTATTTAAAAACAGTGCACGGATGTAAAAAAAACAATATTGACGGAGTCTAAACACTATTTTCATATGAACGGAGTCCAAATTTAATAATTTGGACTCTTAACCACTATAAATGGTCTAAACAGGGTGATATTCACTCCCACCTCATTTGGCTGCCACAAGGAATATCGGTTCTTTTTTTCAACTTATTTATATAAACCATTAGAATTAGAAAAATCATAAAAGAATACGAAGTACTAAATCCATCCCAAAATGAGAGTCACGCATTTCCTTTTCGGGATGTCCCAAAATGAGAGTCTCATTTCCCTTTTAGGAAAGAAAGATGTGGTCCACATTATTTCACCTTTTTCTACTCAAATCTCAACCACAATTTTTACCTTTTCAATCACTTCCTTAATCTTTGAGCCCAAAAAGTATGACTCTCATTTTGGGACGGAGGGAGTACTAGAGTATTAAATACAATATGTTTTTGTATTGGACTATAAATTAAAGGGAAAACTGTCAAATAGGTTCTCGAACTTTTATAAAAAGGTCAAATAAGTCCTTATATAAGAGGCTCTGTTAGGCCGTCGCGATTTCGGGCGGTTCTCGGTGGAATTTTTTGATGAAATTTTTGAACATCTTATTCATCAAGTCTAGTCTACTCATACCAAATTTCAGCTAAAACTTCCATCGGGAACGCATTCAAATTACTTATTGAAGATAACTGCACATTTAACTGAACAGTTATCTTCAAGAATTAATTTGAATGCGTTCCCGATTGAAGTTTTAGCTGAAATTTGGTATGAGTAAACTAGACTTATGAATAAGGTGCTAAAAAAAATTCATCAAAAAAATCCACCGGGAACCGCCCGAAATCGCGACGGTCGGACAGAGTCTCCTATATAATGACTTATTTGACCTTTTAATGAAAGTTCGAGCACCTTGTTTGACAGTTTTGCCAAAAAGTTTTACCAAACTGCTCCCTCTGGTCCACCCTCCCACTTCAACTCTCTCATGCATCTTCCACTTCCCCCCGTATTCCAGTGTCGATGTTTTTTAGCTTGTGCAAAACCCTTCATCCCACACTTCCCTTTCGCAGCATTTCCCCGTCTTTCCGTCGGTCTTCTTGTAACATGAACTCAGGCTCTCGAATGTTCCAGCTCAAAATAGACCCATTAACTGGCAGCTCCGAATGGATTGTCATTGACGAAAGCGAAAGTCCAGAGCAAACTCCAACCCCACTTCTTGCTACAACGTCGTATCTCGATATGCTCAACGACTCTCCCAGAAACAGAGCTTTCCGTGAAGCAATCGAAAAGACTGTAACTAAGCCTTGCCACGTTCTTGATATTGGGTACGCCTCATTTCTTCGTACTGTTTGCTCTGAAGTTTTTATAATCTTTATCCTGATTTACTTTTGCAAAAGGAAAATTGGTTCTCAGCCAGAATCCCCTGTATGAGCTCTGAACAATTCCAATTACAGTATCAGGCTCTTAAGAGTAGAAAGATTGTTTTTTTATGCTGCTTAGAATGTACTTGGAATTTAATTTGCAGCTCTGGAACTGGATTATTGTCTATGATGGCTGCCCGAGCAATGGGTCATGCTGATTCAGGGGCTAACTCTGGTTCTACAGGGATGGTTACTGCTTGTGAATCGTATCTTCCTATGGTAAAGTTGATGAGAAAAGTTTTAAAGGTCAATGGAATGGAAAGGAGGATTCGCATAATTAATAAGAGGTCAGATGAATTAGAAGTTGGCAGGGATGTAGCATCTCATGCAGATGTTCTTGTGAGTTCAGTGTCTTAATGTGTTCTATAGTTTGGGTTAGGGACTGTTTACTTACTTTTCTATTGCGTCATGTCTAGATTAATTTGTTTGTACTTTGTAGTAAGATGTCTGTGTGGATTAAGTGATATTTCTTTACGAGACTGATTATTTTGTGTGCTGATATAGACTTTGAATGACTAGAATAATCAATTTAAGGTTATTAATGGATTCATATTCCATAGTCTAATTAGACCAAAGTAGCCAGAAAAAAATCTTACCGGGCCAGACAAGAAGGTTCAGATCAGACCAAGCCAATTTTACATTTTAGACTACAAATAATGAAAGATTAGAAACATTTGAAAGAAACAAGTAAGATGTTGAATTAGGCAAGACTCAAAGATTAACATTCATACCAAAGAGACTGAATATTCAGTCCAAACGATATCTTTAAAACAAAAACATCCAAGCCTTAGTCCCAAAATATTTTGAGGTCAGCTAACTTGAATCAATATATGATATCGGAGCCAAAAGAAAAAGAAAGATAAGAAAGAATATACAGAAAAAATACAAAAGATAAAATTTAATAGAGATAAGATATACGAGTATATAAAAATGATAAGATATAAATGATAGAACAATATCTTTAGAAATTGAGACAAAATTACCCTTTTCAGGAAAATAATACATATATTTAATCTATAAGGAGTATATCATAATGAAACTGGTTAATGAAAAATGATTCATTGTCAACCCCTGCAATATAGCGCCACAATGAAATTTATGTAATAATAAATTCCAAGCTTTTATGATGATTCATCAAAATCTTGTTGTGTGATTTATTTTGTTAACGTGGCATGTAATAAAGCCATTGCCAATTATCTATGTTAATGCAGGTTAGTGAAATATTGGACTCAGAGCTATTAGGTGAAGGGCTGATTCCAACTTTGCAGCATGCCCATGACAATCTGTTGGTGAAATGTCCAGAAACAGTGCCTTACAGAGCAACAATTTACGGTCAGGTGTTGACCAAAACTACTTTAAACTCTTGCAAAGTGTGCAAGATGTGCTACCCTAAAATATCTCAGAAAGCATTTTGGTGTATACTTAATTATTTATTCTTCATGAGTGCAGAATTATATCTCACCATCCCTTTATGAATGTGCGTACATGTATTTAGTACTAGTCTGTAAATATACACCATGGGGAATACTTAGTGAGCCGTTTGATTTGGAAGCACCAAACAGTGCTAAGTTAATAAGGGCCGTTTGTAAGTATTGTTTTGGAGAAATGAGTCATATGACTGAATCACCTGAGTTTTCTGAAAGAAATAGTGGTTTGATAACATCCATATTCCATCCAAATAGTAAGTGAAAAGCTACTTATTCTGCTTTAGCTTTACAATCAGAACGGGGCGAACTGACTAACACGAGGAATAAGTATTACACTTATGCAACTTCAAGTAACAATTGGCAATGCTTTGAAAGTTATTTTTTAGTTTGCTGTCTTAGAAACATTATCTTATTTGCTGCTATATTTTGTATGGTTTTAAGTGTTAATTATGGCCCTATATCTTCCATTATGGGATCACTGTTTTTGGATTTTTTATTACTCTGATGTACCTTACTTCATACACTTAATATATCTTCTATAAGGTTTAAAGTATTTTTGTTGCAAATAAATGGAGTTTCAGTTTTTTTTTTGTCTTTGTCATTAGTTGGTTGAAAGCAAAGGCTTGTGGAAGATGCATGACTTATTTAGTAATGAAGATAAGACATCAGATACAATTCATCTTGTTCCAAAAGGCATGGAGACCATTTTATCTGTAAACCCCCAGCAACATCCTATGCATTGTGATGCAATCAGTGAGGAAATTAAACAGGTACTCATTATTTACGTTTTTTTTTCAAAAGCATCACCATCGTCATCATTGTTTTTTTAAATGTCCTACTGAAATTTAAGTTTTTTTTAAAGCTTTCAGAACCCTTCAAAATATTTGATTTTGACTTTTGGAAAAGGCCAGACAGCTCTATAGAAACCGACTTGGTTATAAAGGCAACTAAAGGTGGAACAGTTCATGCTGTCATCTCATGGTATTTAAATGGGCCATTTTTAGTCATGTTATGAGCACGCTTTTGCTTATCTTATAGTGGTAATTTTTTCCCCAGGTGGTTGCTTCAACTTGATAGAGAAGGGACAGTCTTTTATTCCACTGGGCCAAAGTGGTTACATTGCCTCCCTAATGTGAAGGAGTTAAACCGATCCCTATCTTTTAAGAGTAGACATCTTACTTTTGATATTTATTTTGGGCACAAAGTTAATAAGCCTCCTAACTCTATAACCTTTTAAATTTTAACCTTGTAACCTTATGGCCCCCTATATTTGAAAATTGTAACAATGATACACTAAAGAAGGTCCATACATTACTAAAATGAATGGACTTGAAACCATATTACTACTGAATTTGAAACAGCTCTAGCACATGATCAATCTCCTAAACACTATGTTTGGGAATTTTCAACAGGAGGAGAGGAAAATAAGAAGAGAAATACTATTTTTTTCCTTATTAATAATGATCATTCTTGTATTTAGAACTAGAAATTTAGACTTGACTAAAATAAAAAAGGGAAGAATAATCCATTAATTTTTATTTTTTGCATGCTGATTTTGGAGGAAAATAAAAATAATGTTATAAGTTTCTGATTCCAACCATCATAGCAAATTAACCGACACGACAAACTTCAATGTTTTAAATGTTGGATAAAAATTCAAATTTATAATGAATGGTGCATTTTCCATCCATTGGGTGGGGTGAGAGGAAGATGAAAAGTAATTTTTATTATAATTTCTATCTTTATTTTCCCTTCCCTAGTTCCCTTGCAAGATAAAATGTCTTTCTTCCTTCCAAAAGATAGTAAAAATGTATATATTTCCTTTTGATTTAAGGTGCAGTTTTTATTGACTAGATTTCCAATTAAAATTTAAAATATCAGCTATACGTAAAATTATTATTTAATTGTATTGTATTTATATTTATATTTCACTGTGGGGTGAGAGGAAGATGAAAAGTAATTTTTATTATAATTTCTATCTTTATTTTCCCTTCCCTGACAAGATAAAATGTCTTTCTTCCTTCCAAGAGATAGTAAAAATGTATATATTTCCTTTTGATTTAAGGTGCAGTTTTTATTGACTAGATTTCCAATTAAAATTTAAAATATCAGCCATACATAAAATTCTTATTTAATTGTATTGTATTTATATTTATATTTCACTGTAGGTTCTGAAGCATGGTGTGATCATTGGAAACAATGTGTTTGGTTCGTTCCAAACAGAGGTTTACCTGTACATAAGGATGAACATGTCCATTTAAATGCCATTCATAACAATATTAGCATCATGTACAAAGTGAAGTCCGCATCTCAAAATATGGAAATTGAACATTGCAAACTCAATGCCCAAGGTTGCCAACTTTTTTTATCACCAGAAAGAATTGCAATACATGGTGACAACGATTGGAGATGTTCAATGCTTAAAGCCATTAACAAAGCTGTAAGCCTCCCCCACAATTGCTGTTGTTTAGTTTTTTAATACTGGCTTAGCTTACTCTGTCCTACCATACATTAAAAGCCTGTTTGGGAACCTATTGTTTCATTATTTTTAGAAACTTCAGTGGTTTTTTAAATGTAATCACTTTGGGAAACATTCTTCTCTTTGAGAACTACTCCGTACTTTTTTTCATGTTTTTAATTGTTTTTAAAGGTTGGAAATCTCTTGCTTATGATTATTTTTCAATAATGTATTACCCCTCTTTTATTTTACCTTGTAAAAGCTAATTTTAGTTGCATCTAAATGATATTAATTAATTTTAAACCACTTCTCAGCAATGTTTACTTTAACAAAAATTGGTTCTGTTTAACATTGATTATACATATAACCACTTATTGAGATACTTTAATTTTTCAGCTAAATCATAAGGTGTCTCCATTGTGTGTTGTTGCTGATGACAGCATTTTCATGACAATTGCTATTGCTCAACTCAGCAAAGCATATGTCATATCCATGTTACCTGGTCTGCTGGACAAAGGTGAACAGTATCTGCAAGCTGTTGCTGATTCAAATGACTATTCAATGGATTGCATTAAAGTTCTAAAAAGGAGAAACTATGCCTTGACCATGCAGGATACACACCACAGAAAGGTAACAAAGAGAACTTGCATGTATTGCAGTCCAAATGCATACATAATCTTTACAGGGAATACAAGGAATTTATTTCAAACTTGCAATTAGTGTGATACATAGGAAAGTCTTAACAAGCTCTCGTCAAGCTTGACTTCTTGAGCATTAAAATGGAAGTGTGTGTTGAAGTGTTTTTCCAGCATTGACTAAACATAAAATAAAAATTAAACATTTATGATCTTGGATTATTCATTGTAAAAGATTTACTTTTTAGATTTAACCCCAACTCTTAATTTAGTGTTGTATCTTCATCCACATATATTAAAAATAAAGTAAGAAACCCGCACACGAGATCTAGAGACCTCCTATAGTCCTATCCGATAGACCTTCAAGGGATGAACCCAAACTCTCAAAATGGTATTAGAGCTAAGCCAATCCATAGTCATGATCTAGTCATGCTATAGATGAGGTGTCGATCTGTGAAGAGTATGTGTGTTTATTAGGAAAAATGTTGCACTGTCTAGATGGCGTTGGAGAGTAGGCGGTGTGCGCTTCTATGAGAAAAAAGTTGAGCTTACTAGATGAGTTGTTGGACCTTGAGTGCGTAATGTTGTGTGTCCCTCTCTATAAGGAAACAGAATTTGCACAGGCTAGATGACATGTCTGGCCTCGAAGAATGTTGGAGAATTTGTCCCACATTGACTGAATATCAAATAAGAAACTATTGAGTATCATATAAGAACTTAGGTTATTTCTCTTATGAGGTTTCTCTTCTAAGATAAAAGTATTACTTAATAGTAAAACTTAAGTTTCTGATTGTCATTGCAGTCAAAATATCCCAAACCAGGCAGAAGATTCCAAAAAGTATCACGCATACACACTTTAGGTGTTTGTACATTTCTACGGAGGCTTGGCTTTGTAACAAAGTTTTGACCTCCACTTTCTTTGTGGTTCTGTATGCTTTTATGACAATCCTATGACTACAAATTCAAATTTGCATATGAATTGATTTATTGGTCTTCAATTATAAAGACATACAGTTTTATGTGTAGGACTGCTTTTTGAACAACCTGGCCCTCTATGGTTGATGCAATTCAATGCATCTTAAGAAAAAGAATTCTAGATTCTTTTAATGGCATTGTCATCCTACAGGTTGACTTCTTGGTTGCAGAACCTTTCTATTATGGAATGGATGGTGTACTTCCCTGGCAAAACCTTCGATTTTGGTAAATGACTAACTGATGCGTCTTTTACACGCCAACACGGCCACTCACCCACATATATGACCATTATGATGGTGGTATGCTTATGTTTGTCTTTACCAGTTGAGTTTTATTGCCTTGACAGAGTTGACTTGACCCACCATAAAGGCATAGAAACCGCACTTTCTTTTGTTATATATTATTTTTATATCTCATATTCCTTTAAAATTTTCCATCATTTGCAATGGAGCCAAAGATTCACTATTTTTTAGGGGTTGGCACGGTCCGGTCCGGTCCAATATTTGGCCGAACCCGTACCCGTACCGTTACTATTGAAACGGTTCGGTACGGTTCGGTCTTAGACCCAAACCCGTTCGGTACGGCCCATTTTCAAACGGGACGGTACCATGCCATACCAATACCAAACAATGCCACTTTTTCCAGGTGTTTAAGAAAAAATTAAAGTTTAGCCATCCTCCAAAAATTCACACAATGTATCAACTTTCATATATCCATACTACTATACCTTCGTTCCGAATTGATTTGCAAAGTCAATCTTTTTTTGGTCAAACAATTTCTTTTTATTCACTTAATTAGAATTTCACTTTTTAATTATATTCTAATTTGGCCTTTCAAAAAAACTACTCCGTACTTCGTATATTTTAATTTGGATTTTGCAACTTTAGAGAGATTTTAATGTGGTTTCTAAATATGTAAATTTTAATTATTAAAAAATTGTATTAATTATCAAGAACTTAACATTAACTTTGACAAAAACATGTTGGCTTTGCAAATCAATTTGGGATGGATGAGGTAATATATATATTTTAGATAAACTATAGTAGTACAAATTTAATAAATCATACTTCGGTCCGGTTCGGTCCGGTACCGGTTCTCATTTTATGAGAACCGGTCATGGCATTGTTTGGAACCGGTTCGGTCTGGTTCGGGACAAATAATTTTGAGATCCGTTTCAAATCCCGTTTATCGGTCCGGTACCATACCGGTCCGGTTCGGTATAATGCCGGTTCGGTACTTTTGTCCACCCCTACTATTTTTTAGCTTGAGAATACAATGGAATAAAGCAAAATGGCTCAGTAAACTGTGTGCGCTTCTTTGTTATGAAGCAGCAGTCCGTCCATGCAATTTGGACACAATTTTCACTATGGGTCATCCACTCATCCGGAAGCAGTCTCTCTGTGTTTTGCTTTAGTACAGGGGTAAGACTGCGTACATCCGACCCCCCCTTACCCCACCGTAGGTGGGAGCCTTTGCGGCACTGGGGTAAATGATGATGATGATATTCCTTTAAAAGACCTTACTTTGGGACAATGCTATGGGAAGTTGTTACGATGTGATTAGTCAGACACCCAGACCTCTAAAATTAACCCTTTTTCCCATCTTTATTTATTTACAGGAAAGAAAGAACTGTAATGGATCCTATCTTGTCAAAAGATGTGGTGATAATGCCTTTTAAGGGACTCTTAAAGGCTTGTGCAATGTCCCTTCCAGTAAGTTGAAGTGATGGTATTCGGATACCTTCTCTACAATTTTACTACAAAAGGCTTCATAGTTGAGACAGATCACCTTATGGAAATGCAAAATCTTCTTTGTAGGATCTCTGGAGAAGCCGTCAATGCCTGAAAGCTATTGAAGGTTTTGATCATTCAGTTGTCAATTCCACGTTAGGTGCATGTGGAGATTTGCCTGCAGGAGAACGAACCCCTTTTCTGCCTTTCTTTATTTGGCAATGTGGTGAGAGTAAGGTAGCATCTTTGAGGTTTATATATCCATATGGTGAATGATTCCCATATTTGTTCTTCCATCTGTTAAAGTTCACCAAAGCATTTGGCTTGTTTATTAAGAGTGTTACTCTTATTTGGTCTAGAGTTTCCCTTTTGATGGTCATAAAAAGTGATTCCCCCTTTGTGTCAATTTGGAAGGAGGGTTTTGGAGGGGAATGTTTTGGAAGAATTCATATATATCTGTATATTTCTAAGAACAAATAAAGGGGATTAAATTATATATGATCATGCATTATGTTAATCCTTCAACTTTTATAAAAATCCACAGGATATAAACTTCTCTCGAAAACTCTCTATCCAAATTGTCCTTGGCTAAAATTGAAAAATTTAAGGGTCAGTGTTGTCATATCAACTAAGAGATTGATGAAGCTGTGTTAAGTGAGTATAACCGATCCCACACTTATTTTGTATTTTATTTTTTTATATAATGTAATATTTCTTATTATCTACCTCTCTTTTTGGGAAAATCACAATTTTAGTCCCTGAAATAGTCACCATATTGAAATGTCAAACCTGTGTTCCCGAGTTTGTACATGTCACCCTCAATTGTCCAAATTGCTGTAAATGTGATAGAGACTTTATTAATCAAAGCAGAGGAAATAAATATTTTAGTAAGGTGTATACTAGAAGGGGGAGGGCCGGGTGTTAGCTAGTTTGTTATAATACTAGTAACTGCCGGTAGTTATACTACCTTACTATAAATAGTAGACTTTGGGGTTGTTGTAAGGAAGCTGAATTTGAATTGTAAAGTGTAGCCCCTAACTGTTGCCTAGGCCGATGGCCATTGTTACCTTTTCTTGAATAAGAAGTTGCCTTGAGTTCTTTGATTCCCTTGTGTATTGTTAGATTGATCTTGCAGGATCTAACATTGGTATCAGAGACTTCGTTCACTGTGGATGGTAGTGACGCGCGCGAAGATGGAAGCCAGAATAGAAGAATTGGAAAAATCGCAACAAGAGACGAGGGATATGTTCGCGGCTCTTCAGGCATCGATAGCTAGGCTGGAGACGCGAGAACAGCATCGATCAAGGAGTCGATCGCGAACTTCCTCGACCTCGCACCACTCATCGCAACATCAATTGATGAAATCGATTGACAGTTCTGACAGCTCGGATGATTCTCAGCACAATTCCACACCTCGCCGACATCAACGATATAATCATCAGCATCTGGTGCACAGGAAAATTGATCTACCAATATTCCAAGGTGAGGATGCTTTTGGCTGGCTGGTAAGGATCGACCGATACTTCAGACTCCAAAATGTGGAAGAAGAGGAAAAATGTGAAGTTGCTGTGGTAGCAATGGAAGGAAAAGCACTCGGTTGGGTGCAATGGTGGGAAAAACAAGCGAAGGAAAGGAGTTGGGAAAAGATGAGAAAGGCATTGATCCGAAGATTCCAGCCTGAACTAATTCAAAATCCGTTGGGGCCTTTACTGAGATTAAAACAAAGGAACACTGTACAAGAATACAGGGAGCAGTTTGAAACTGCTATTGCATGTCAAGAAGGTTTGGACAGAAAGGTGATGAGAGCTATCTTCTTGAATGGAATAAGAAAAGAAATCCGAGCTGAACTCAAATTGTATAAAACCAGAGATTTAGGGAAAATCATGGATAAAGCTCAAGTGATTGAGGATAAGAATGAAGAGATCATGGCAAGAAGACTAAAAGAAGAGGGAAAGAGGCCATGGAAGAGTACTGGAATCAGAGGAAACAGTTATCAAAAAGGCATAGAAGGAATAAAGGATAGCAGTCATTCTTTACATATTCCTAATCCGGGAAGAAGCACAGGTGATAACAAGATGATGGAAAATGGTGAAAGTAGCAATCCCAAGAGAATTGGCCCCAGATTATCACAAAATGAAATCATGGATAGAAGCAAGAAGGGGTTGTGCTTCAAATGTGGGGAGAATTGGAGTAGGGGACACAGCTGCAGGATGAAAAACTTCAAGTTGGTTTTGATGGAACAGTCGGATGAAGAACCAGAAATTGAGGAAGACTACAGCAACTCTGAAGGAGAAGATAAAACACACACTGAATTAAAATCCATGCAACTGTCTGTCCTCAGTAAAGAAGGTATACCCTCTATGAGAACTTTCAAGGTTAGGGGAAATTTGATATGGGCTAATGATGATAGGAAAGTCAGTGTGTTAATTGACAGTGGGGCAACCCACAATTTCATATCCCAGAAACTGATAGATAAATGGGGTATTCCTTTCACACCTATCAAAGGGTATAGAGTTCAGATTGGTAATGGTGATTACATAAATAATAAGGGCAGATGTATGGGAATGAAATTGATGGTGCAGGGAAATGTGATCAAGGAGACATTCTATACCCTAGAGCTGGGGGATACAGATGTGGTTCTGGGTCTTGAATGGCTCACAAAGCTGGGAAATATGCAGGTCAATTTCCATGAGCAAATATTGAAGTGGAAAAAAGAGGAGCAGGATTGTGTTATCAAAGGAGATACATCCCTAAATAATTTGGAAGTGCCCTTAAAAACAATGACTCAGATTATACAACAAATAGGGGATGGCTATTTGCTGTATTGTGAAGCAAGACAACAAGGACAACCTGAACCAGAGTTACAACCAGACAGAAATACTAAATGGGATGAAATTTTGGAAGATTTTGCAGAAGTATTCAAATCTGAGTTAGAATTCCCACCTGCAAGAGCCTGTGACCACTCCATTAACATCAAGGAAGGCTCCAGCATCCCCAATATAAGGCCCTACAGATATTCTTATGACCAGAAAAATGAAATTGAAAAGATTGTCAAGGAAATGCTCAATTCTGGCATCATAAGAAACAGTAATAGCCCATACAGTAGTCCTATCTTATTAGCCAGAAAGAAAGATGGAGGCTGGCGTTTCTGTGGAGATTACAGATCATTAAATAAGATCACTGTACCAGATAAGTTCCCAATCCCTGTAATTGAAGAATTATTGGATGAGTTAAATGGGGCTAAGGTTTTTTCCAAACTGGATTTGAAGTCTGGTTACCATCAAATCAGGATGAAGGCTGAGGACATACATAAGACTGCATTTAGAACCCATGAGGGTCATTACGAATATTTGGTAATGCCTTTCGGGTTGACTAATGCCCCATCCACATTTCAAGCATTGATGAACGAGGTCCTAAGGCCATTTTTAAGGAAATTTGCATTAGTATTCTTCGATGACATACTGGTGTACAGCAAATCTGTCGAGGAACATAAGGGGCACTTGAAGGAGGTCCTGACAGCTTTACAAGAGAACAAACTAGTAGCTAATAGAAAGAAGTGTTCTTTTGGCCAACCACAGTTGTCTTACTTGGGACACATCATATCTGAAAAGGGAGTAGCTGCAGATCCAAGTAAAATAGAAGCCATAAAGGAATGGAAAGAACCTCAAGATGTAAAGGGATTGAGAGGATTTTTGGGGTTAACCGGCTATTACAGAAGGTTTGTTAAAGGGTACAGCAAAATTGCTGCACCATTAACTCAATTGTTGAAAAAGGATGGTTTCAAATGGGATGAGACAGCTAGAAGAGCAATTGAAGAATTAAAGTTAGCCATGACTACTCTGCCAGTACTAAGAACTCCAGATTTCAGTAAGATATTTACTGTGGAAACTGATGCATCTGGGAAAGGAGTGGGTGCTGTGTTAATGCAGGAGGGCAGACCCATAGCTTACATGAGTAAAGAGCTATCTACCAAGCATCAGTCAAAGTCTGTTTATGAAAAAGAACTTATGGCCATAGTTTTTGCTATCCAAAAGTGGAGACCCTACCTTTTGGGTAGACAGTTTGAGGTAATTACAGACCAAAGGAGTCTAAAATACCTTACTGAACAAAGAATTATGGGGGAAGACCAACAGAGATGGATCTCAAAGTTGATGGGTTATGACTTTGTGATCAAATACAGACCAGGGGTGGAGAATGGTGCAGCTGATGCCCTTTCTAGGAAGATGACTATGTTCTCCTTATCCATAGTCACTTGCCAAGAATGGAAAGGACTGGAGGAAGAATTGGGGAAGGATTCATGGTGTGGGGAAGTTATCCAGAAGGTTTTAACTCAGCCAGACAAGATGAGGAATTTTGTGATCAAGGGAGGATTGCTATACTTCAAAGGAAGGTTGGTTATTCCAAAAGGGTCTGGCAGAATTGCAAAAATATTGAAAGAATATCATGAATCAGCTTTAGGAGGACATTCAGGGCAGTTTAGAACAATGAAAAGAATATCAAGCCTATTCTACTGGGTGGGGATGAGATCTGAGATAAAAAGCTTTGTTCAAGGATGTGATATATGCCAGAGGAACAAATATCAAGCTCTAAAACCAGCAGGGTTATTACAGCCTCTACCTATACCCACACACACTTGGAGTGATATTAGTATGGATTTTGTGGGTGGTTTACCTAAATCATTTGGGAAGGATACAATCTTAGTAGTGGTTGACAGGTTATCAAAGTTTGCTCATTTTCTGGCCCTAACTCATCCCTACAATGCAAAAGAGGTAGCTGAGTTGTTTATGAAGGAGGTGGTTAAGATACATGGGTTTCCAAAGTCTATAATCAGTGACAGAGACAGCCTATTTCTGAGTACATTTTGGTCAGAATTATTCAAGGCAGCAGGCACGACTTTGAAGTATAGTACAGCATATCATCCTCAAAGTGATGGACAAACGGAAGTGGTCAACCGTTGTCTAGAAACTTATCTGAGATGCATGACCGGAAGAAAACCTAAACAGTGGGTCAAATGGCTTCCATGGGCAGAACTATGGTACAATACAAATTATCACATTTCTTTGCAAGACACTCCTTACAGGGCATTATTTGGTCAGGATCCTCCTGTCATTATCAGGGGAGATGTAAGTCTCTCAGCTGTAGAGGAAGTCTCCAAACTAACAGCTGAAAGAAATGAACTACTGAAGGAGCTGAAGGAGCATTTAGCCAAAGCACAGAATCTAATGAAACAGCAGGCTGATAAACATAGAAGAGAGTTGAAGCTACAGGTGGGTGACAAGGTATATTTGAAGATACAGCCCTACAAAATGAGAAGTCTAGCCAAGAAGGTTAATCAGAAGTTAAGCCCCAGGTTCTATGGACCCTATGAGATCCTAGAAGAAATTAACCCAGTGGCTTTCAAATTACAGTTACCTGTAGGGTGTAGGATTCACCCAGTCTTTCATATTTCCCTGCTAAAGAAGGAATTGAAGCCTACAAATGTCTGCCAAGATCTACCAGATTGTTTAACTGAGGAGTGTGAGCTCCTAGTATGGCCAGAGGACATTAAGGGTGTCAGAAGGAATTCCGCTGGAGAAAAGGAAGTACTAATACACTGGAAAGACCTTCCAGATTTTGAAGATTCTTGGGAGACAGAATACAACATCAGACAACAATTTCCTTCTTTCCAACTTGAGGACAAGTTGAGTCTTCAGGAGGGGAGAAATGATAGAGACTTTATTAATCAAAGCAGAGGAAATAAATATTTTAGTAAGGTGTATACTAGAAGGGGGAGGGCCGGGTGTTAGCTAGTTTGTTATAATACTAGTAACTGCCGGTAGTTATACTACCTTACTATAAATAGTAGACTTTGGGGTTGTTGTAAGGAAGCTGAATTTGAATTGTAAAGTGTAGCCCCTAACTGTTGCCTAGGCCGATGGCCATTGTTACCTTTTCTTGAATAAGAAGTTGCCTTGAGTTCTTTGATTCCCTTGTGTATTGTTAGATTGATCTTGCAGGATCTAACAAAATGTGCTCCTTTTTTTGAAGTATGTAAATGTGCTCCTTTGAGGGGTGAAATGTACAATGTGGGCAAGGAGTACATTTCACTCCTCAAAGGATTATATTTACTTCAATATGGTGACTATTTTAGGGACTAAAAGTGCAATTTTCCCTCTTTTTTCAAAAAATAAAATGGTGTTTCATGCTCTAGCAAGAGCGGCGATTTCTATACAAGGCTGTATTTTTTTTATGATTATGCTCCTGTTTGTATTGCTAGCATTCTAGCAAATGATTGTTTGACATAATAATAGATTGGCGATATCATTTAAAAACGAGTTTATTGTTTACTTGAGTTGATCGCAATGAGTAAAAATTATTGCAGAAACTGAGTGAAACATTCAATATAATGGAGTTCAATTTCCAAGAAACAATTTGCCAATGCTCAGGAGAAGCTGAGGTGATTATCATGTTCATGCATCCTTTTTTATAGCACTGTGAGTTTCTCACTGTCTGAAACTGAAAATACAAGTTGCAGTTTGAATTTACCGAGCCAGGAATGTGCCATGGACTGGTGTTCTGGATTGATTGGGTAATGGATGCAGGAGAGTCCATCGTCGTATCAACTGGTCCAGGTATGGCTCTGGTTCTTTATCCCCGATGAGTCCACCCGATCCTAGCTGATATGGTTTCCTCTACCATATTTTAAGTTGTCGTGCTGCATTTCCGGTTTCCTGACAGAGCCATAAAATCATGGTATTTTTTGCTTAGAGTTAATATCCAATTTAGTCCCTTTATTACCCTGTTCACTCATTAACTTTCTTTTACTCAATTTGATCCTTGATCATGCATTTTAGTCCAATTCACTCGGCATGCATATTTTGTTCTACTTGTTAAGGGGACTAAATTGGTCCAACTTACCTTGTTATTGACCAAATTGAGTCCAAAATTAGATTGATATTCAGTGAACAGGAGAAAATACTCTTCTTTGCTAGAACCTAATGTGTATGGTGACTAAATTAGCCTTTAAGTTTCATAACCGAGGACCAAAATAAGTACAACAAAATAGTTTAGGACCACATTAAGTAGTACTATGGCACTATCTCTTTGCACAAAATAAATTTCCTAGTTCGACTTGACAAACTTATTAAGAATGCAAGATTGTGTGGTTGTGATTTATTATTAAAGTTAATATCAACCACACATTTCCTTGTCCTAAGGAAACATGAACCTTTTCCAGGGAAAGAGTAGAGGGAGTGCTGCATATAGTAGAAGGGCTAAATCGGTAATTAATTCTTTTTTCTTTTTCAGAACAAAGATATTGGAAGCAAGGTGTGAAGCTTTTAGAGAAGCCTGTGACTGTCCAGAACTGTGGGGGATCCATCCCAAAAGTTGAAGCCTCGTTTGATCCCACAAACGCTGAGCTCAGTGTGGAGCTTACTTTTATATGATACGTAGTATGATTTTATGAACTCTTTACTTTGTTGCCTTCAATTGGACTCATCTATGCAATCTAGGGATGACTCTGGGCTGATTCAGGTTCCAAAATGGTCTGTTCCAAGTCCAAATCAACACCTGCCTGTAACTGTTACCAGACATATGTGGTTCCAGTTCTGGTTGGTTTCAAACAGGTTGTATTCAGAGTTTTTTCCCCAAAAAAATGTGGAGAAAACCAGAACTGGTCTGTGATAGGCTTATAAGTGACAAGCCTATTAAATACTTCAATAAAGTCTATCATAGGAGGAATAAGGGAGGGGGTAGCCAGTAATTAGTTATGAGTCGGTTACCTATTAATAAATTCCCTGCGTGGAATATTACTATAAATAGAAGTCTGTTAGCCTAGTAGGGCAGGTTGTTGCTCTGAATAATTGGCTGTCAGGAGTTTGGGCTTCTCGAATAGTCCTTGAGCTTGTACGACCTATCTAGAGTTCTCTCTTTCAATAATAATCTCTTGATCTGTTCTTACATCCATCTGCCGATTTGATATAGTTTGTATAGCTTAATACCAGTGTTCTATCATTGGTATCAGAGCAGTGGTTTTGGCGATCGACTGCGGTTGAGTCATCACCAGTTTTCCCCAAATTTGCCGTTCGGATCGTGGATGGTTCGAACGAGAGGAAAAATGGAGCAGCGATTGGAAGCAGTGGAACGCAGTCGAACAACAATGGAGGAAACGCTGCTGAGGATGGAGACGATGATGCAGAACATGACAGGGAGGATCGATACGATGAGCGATGAATTCCGTCAGAGAGGAAGATCGCGATCTCATCACAGTCATCGTTCGCGACCTTCACCTAGCCCTGCCGTTTCCAGAGGTAATTCCGCTTACTCGAATCACACCTATCATAGGCGACGTGATGAGTATGCTAGATTTCCAGTGAATATGGCTCGGAAAGTTGATTTGCCACTGTTCAATGGGGATGGGGCTTATAACTGGCTTGTAAGGATGGAGAGATATTTTAGATTGAATCACATTACTGAGGATGATAAATTGGAAGTGTCTGTAGTAGCCATGGAAGACCGAGCTCTGAATTGGTTCCAATGGTGGGAACATCAGACCGAGGAGAAGAATTGGGAATCACTTAAGGAATCGGTTATTCGGAGATTCCAACCTGACCTCCTACAGAACCCGTACGGACCTATGTTGAGCTTGAAGCAAACGGGAACAGTCAGAGATTATAGGGATGAATTTGAATTGACCATAGCACCTCAAAGGACTGTGGATAGAGAGATATTGAGGGGAATATTCATCACTGGATTGAAGGAAGAGGTTAAGGCTGAACTGAAATTATACAATCCTAGATCATTGACTGATGTTATGGATGTGGCTTTACAAATTGAAAGGAAGAATGAGGCTATACAATTGAAAAGACAGGATGTCATGATGGGGGAAAAAGACAAGGGAAGTGTGCCTAGCAAATTTCAGAACTGGGGAGAGAGTTCAAAGGCAAGATATGGTAATGCTGGAATCAACACTCAAGGAAAAGGGGCCAATGATAACAAAAATTTCAACTCCTGGTTTGAGAGAATGGGGAAGAAGGTCACTGACATGCAATCTTCAGGATTCAGGAAGGTGGGACCTCAATTGTCTCAAGAAGAATTTCAGGAGAGAAGCAGAAAAGGGTTGTGTTTTAAATGTGGGGAAAAATGGAATAAAGAGCACACATGCAAGCTGAAACACTTTAAACTAATGCTAGTAGAAGACTCAGATGTTGATGAAGACACGGACTGTGAGGAACCTGAAGTCCCAGAAGAGGAAGTGGTGTTGGAATCCAAATCTATGCAGTTATCCCTTATGAGTAGAGAAGGGATACCTACTATGAGAGCTTTTAAAATTAAAGGAGTGCTGAAGTGGAATCAGGGAGAAAGACAGGTGGAAGTATTGATTGACAGTGGAGCCACGCATAATTTTATTTCACAAAAATTGGTGGAGGAACTGGAGCTACCTTTCAACACTATTACAGGGTATAAGGTGCAGATTGGCAATGGAGAAAAGATATCTAATAATAGAAGATGTGAAGAAGTGGTACTGTGTTTGCCTGATACTGATATAAAACAGGATTTTTACATCCTAAATCTGGGAGGAACTGACTTAGTTCTGGGCATGGAGTGGCTTACCAGCCTGGGAGATGTTGAAATAAACTTTCAGAAGCAGACCATTAACTGGAAGAGTTCAGGGCACAATCATTCAGTTCAGGGGGACCCAAAATTAAGTTCAATGGAAGTTTCATTGAAGACATTAACACAAATTATACAAGACAATGGAGATGGGTATCTGATATACTATGAAGGAAGTCTAATGCAGATGGAGAAAGGGAAGGATATGGATTGCATATGGAAGGAGATCTTGGCTGAATTTCCAGAAATAACACAACCCTTGGAAGGATTACCTCCATCTAGAAGCTGTGATCATTCCATTAACATTCAGGAGGGAGCCAACATACCCAACATTAGACCTTACAGGTACCCCCAATATCAAAAGACTGAAATAGAAAGAATTATACAGGAGATGTTGAGCTCTGGAATCATCCAACCTAGTAACAGTCCCTACAGCAGCCCCATACTCTTGGCAAAGAAGAAAGATGGGGGGTGGAGGTTCTGTGGTGATTACAGGGCATTGAATAGAATAACAATACCTGACAAATTTCCAATACCTATTATTGATGAGCTATTAGATGAGCTGGGTGGAGCCAGAATTTTTTCCAAGTTAGATTTGAAGTCTGGATACCATCAGATCCGAATGAAAGAAGAGGACAGGAAGAAAACTGCATTCAGAACACACGAAGGTCATTATGAATATCTTGTGATGCCATTTGGATTGACCAATGCTCCTTCTACGTTTCAAGCATTAATGAATCAGGTATTGAGGCCTTTTCTCAGAAAATCTGCTCTTGTGTTTTTCGACGACATATTAATCTACAGCAAATCTATTGAGGAACATCAAAAACATTTGAGAGATGTACTATCTGCTTTGGAGAAGAACCAGTTGAAGATCAATTTGAAGAAATGCTCATTCGGACAATCCAAGTTGGTCTATTTAGGCCATATAATTTTTGGACAAGGGGTATCAGCTGACCCAGAAAAAATTGAAGCTATGCTACAATGGCCTGCACCTAAGGATTTAAAAGGGTTGAGGGGATTTCTTGGGCTAACAGGTTACTACAGAAAATTCGTAAAGGGATATAGTAAGATTGCCTTCCCTCTTACTAATCTTTTGAAGAAAGATAATTTCCACTGGGATTTGAAAGCAGAACAAGCATTTGTAGAACTGAAAATAATTATGACAACACTGCCTGTATTAGCAACACCTGATTTCAACAAAATGTTTGTTATTGAGACTGATGCTTCAGGTACGGGGTTGGGAGCAGTCTTGATGCAAGATGGGAGACCTGTATCATACATGAGCAAGGAGTTATCAACAAGAAATCAGAATAAGTCCATCTATGAAAGGGAATTGATGGCAGTTGTCCTAGCAATTCAGAAGTGGAGACCCTATCTGCTGGGCAGACCCTTTGAAGTCCACACTGATCAGAAAAGCTTGAAGTTTATAACTGAACAAAGACTCATGGGCGAGGAACAACAGCGGTGGACCTCTAAATTACTGGGCTATAATTTTACCATAAAATATAAACCCGGGGTGGAGAACAAGGCTGCAGATGCTTTATCCAGAAAATATGCATTGCAGTCCCTGTCAGTTGTCAGTTGCCAAGAATGGGAGGGTCTGGAGGAGGAATTGAATAAAGATCCTAAATGTCAAGAGATAATCCAGCAGGTGATTTCATACCCAGACAAAAAGGAGTATTTTAGAACAATGAAGCGGGTGGAAGGACTATTTTACTGGCCTGGGATGAGGAATGATATAAAGAAATATGTGGAGGAGTGTGCTATCTGCCAGACTAACAAGTATCAAGCTCTTAAACCCACAGGGTTACTGCAGCCCCTACCTATTCCAACCAGTATTTGGACAGATATAAGCATGGATTTCATTGGGGGATTACCCAGATCCCAAGGAAAAGACACTATTTTAGTAGTGGTTGACAGATTTACAAAATTTGCTCATTTCATAGCCTTATCTCACCCCTTCAATGCAAAGGAGGTGGCAGAAATCTTCATTAAGGAAGTAGTTAAGCTGCATGGATTCCCTAAAACCATTGTCAGTGATAGAGACAGTGTGTTTTTGAGCTCATTTTGGTCTGAAATTTTTAAACTGGCAGGAACTCAGCTAAAATATAGCACTGCTTACCACCCTCAAACAGATGGGCAGACCGAGGTGGTAAACAGGTGCTTAGAAACATACTTAAGGTGCCTCACAGGAAGGAAGCCAAAGCAATGGAGTCAATGGCTTCACTGGGCTGAATATTGGTACAACACCAATTATCACATAGCACTAAAACAAACCCCTTACAAGGCTCTCTTTGGGCTGGATCCTCCTGCAATAGTTAAGGGCGATGTAACACTAACTGCAGTAGAAGAGGTGTCCAGACTGACTGCTCAAAGGAATGCTATGCTAGAGGAGTTAAAGATGAACTTGGCTAGGGCCCAAAACTTAATGAAACAACAGGCTGACAAACACAGGAGGAATATACAGCTGGAGGTGGGAGATCAAGTGTATTTGAAGATTCAGCCATATAAACTTAAAAGCTTAGCCAAGAGGGTGAATCAAAAATTGAGTCCAAGATATTATGGGCCTTTTGAAATCATAGAGAAGATCAACAGTGTAGCCTTCAAACTGCAGTTGCCAGACGACAGCAAAATACATCCTGTGTTTCATGTTTCATTACTAAAAAAAGTGATTGCCCCCACTACTCAATTTCAGCCACTTCCTAAATGTTTGAGTGAAGAAATGGAGCTCCAAGTGATACCTGAAGCAGTGATGGATTCCAGGGTAAATCAAGCAGGCAATGTGGAAGTTCTGATACACTGGAAAAACCTACCAAGTTTTGAAGATTCATGGGAATTGCTGCAGATGATGAGAGAGCACTTCCCAGATTTTCACCTTGGGGACAAGGTGAATTTCCAGGGGGGGAGTAATGATAGGCTTATAAGTGACAAGCCTATTAAATACTTCAATAAAGTCTATCATAGGAGGAATAAGGGAGGGGGTAGCCAGTAATTAGTTATGAGTCGGTTACCTATTAATAAATTCCCTGCGTGGAATATTACTATAAATAGAAGTCTGTTAGCCTAGTAGGGCAGGTTGTTGCTCTGAATAATTGGCTGTCAGGAGTTTGGGCTTCTCGAATAGTCCTTGAGCTTGTACGACCTATCTAGAGTTCTCTCTTTCAATAATAATCTCTTGATCTGTTCTTACATCCATCTGCCGATTTGATATAGTTTGTATAGCTTAATACCAGTGTTCTATCAGTCTGGTTACTCTGGTCATCGGGTGGAACCACAACCTCTTTGGAGAACCAAGAAACAGTTGCCAGGTCCGGAATTCTACTGTCGCACCCTCCTAGTGCAATCATGGCTTGGCATGTTATTTTTGTATGAACTGCTCTAGCAGTCTAGCTTAGAGGCATGTAGATGTATATTTGAAGACGATTTGTTTATACATTATCTTTGTTGCCAACTTACTGACTCGCTGTATTTGGATTTGGTAAACGTTATGGTTGTAGTTCGAGGAATTATAGCAACTCATGTTTCTAGATTTACTTCCACTCTTGAAAAATTTCACCATTTACCATCAGTCATCACTGCTTAAAACATTGTGTTTTTCACTAGCATGCAAAGTCTAACTCACTGCTCTTATAATAAAAATAATACCTCTACCACTGTACCACACCTGATAGTCTGATACTTCCTTCGTCCCATTTTACTTGTCCTATTTTCTTTTTTGGGCTGTCTCAAAATAAGTATTTTCTTCTTTTGGAAAGAAATATGTGGTTTACACCATTTCACTTTATTATACTCAAATTTCAACTACAACTTTTACTTTTTCAACCACTTCATTAATAACTGTACCAAGTCAAATTAAGACACATAAAATGGGACGGAGGTAATACTATTTTTGCTCACAAGACTTGAGACAATCATTTAGATTGAATATCATTTGAATTAATACGTAGGATGTTATTACAAGATATCCTTTGTTTTAAATATCATATCATATACGTAGTACTAGTAATTACCAATTTACCAGTAGTAAATATTTCTTAGATTCTCAATAATCTTGAATACAAGTTTTTTGTTCAAGTGCTCGAACAAACATCATTTATCAACTTTTTTCAATCTTTAGGATTGTATTCAACTGGTGTGATACCTCCTACAGTTTAATGACTACGTGAAATCTTTAAATATATAAGATTAAGGACATTGTTCAGTTGTTCTTTCACTTTGTACTTATATTTAGTATTCCATAGTTTCCAACCGTGGACTAGGAGATTTCAAGTAATACGAGAATTCCATACAATTAGCTTCATATCCAAACACACGCTAAAGATCATTCAATCAATACTTGATAGATTTATTAAATTTGATAAGTAAAACAAAAACCAACAAAGGTGATAATCTAAATACAGACTGATAGGGGTGGTTCCAAGGGTTGGGAGCTTTCAAATATGCCCCTATATGCTATTCCATATGATATCATTTGAGTAGACTATGAATCTATGATCAACTCATCGACAGCTAGTAGAAGTGAGAGGAGGTGATACAATGTCACTTTGAGGATAACAGATGAAGTGATGAAAGCCGTAGCAAAACGGACAGAGAAAGCAGACTTCGCCTGTTTGATCATGTAATGCAGCAATTTGGTTGAGCCCCAAGCATCTCAGGGGTTCTGCAAAGCACAAGAAAGGATAACCTTAGAAATTGCCGAATAAATCGCATCATAAAGCAAAAGCCTCAACCCCCAAACAATTTTTTTTATCTTTTATCAGGGATGCTGAAAGCCAAACCTTCTTCCCGAATCTGTAGCTCAAACAACTTCATTTTTTCAAGTAGGGAGGATTGTTCTTTATTTTACTCTTTTATTTCTACTCCACAATTCCACATTTGTTTGTTTTAAACTAGCAACTATATGATTAGACCAAGTGTTTCTATATATAGGTTTTTTTATCTTCCCTTCATTTGAAATTAAGTAAATGCATAAAGTATCTAACAAAATAAACACTGCATCACATATCACTCCAATCAATATCACAAGAGCATTATTTATTTGCTTTCAACCTCCATGTGCTCTAAAGAGTCAAAATCAGATTGATTGTTAGACAAAACAATAATACAAACTCAGATACAAAAGACTGCGCTACTCCTGCAATAAGGTAAGGTTTGACCTTCTAGAGTGCACCCTCAAGTCTGAATACATAGTACTTGGTTTAATGCATTGACAACAATTACCTGAGTTAAATTATTGCAGCCGACATGCTTTAGCGATTGAACAGTTAAGAAAAGTGAGCAGGTAAAACAATCAGATGAACGTAATTAAGGCAGTGAAAGCAGTACTTACAATTGACCAAGAGTTGACAAATCAAAATCTGGAGCAAGCTCATTGACAATGTCATTAGGCGGTTGGCCACACTCTTGCATTTTCTGCATAAGCTCAACAATCTTGTTGAAGTTTGCTGGCTCAGTTTCATAAACTACATTAAGCTCTTTTATGAGTTCATACTGCTTCTCATAACGGCTGTATTCTTCGTTCACCAGTTTAGCTTTATTTTCATCTAACCATTTAGGGTATCTTTCTTCCATTTCTTTCATAGGCTCGTGAAGAATTTCTTTAGATAAGAGTTGTTGCATCATAGTCTCTACCATAGACTCCATGTCCTGTGAAATAACAAACCACTACTTTTATTAATATGAGGTTCAACTTAAAACTTCATAATTCTTAAGGACTACTAAAATTCTCATAGAGAACTAATGGGCCTACACGCTACACCCGACAGAATAGGAAACTCAAATCCCTAACCAAATGAGAGTGAGAAATTAGAATACTAAGGGGGTGTTTGGATCTGATTCTCAAAACTGATTCTGCTCCTTCAGGGAGCAGAAGCAGAAACTGGAGTGTTTGGATGAAATTCCAGAAGCATTTCTGGAGCTCTAATTTACTCTCAGAATCAGTTTTTTTAGAAGCTGGGAGGTACCAGCTTCTGAAAACTGATTCTGATTCTGCTTCTGCTTTTAAAAAAGAAGCAAAAGCAGAATCAGTTCCAAACACCCTCTAAATAACACGGATTACTGTATTTACTGCAAGTATAATCTTCTAAACTTATAACATTCACAAGGTATTTTTTCATTTTTTTACCAACAGTGATATAAAAAATAACAGTAGGGAGAAAATGCATAGGAGTAGTATATTTTTTGAGCTGTTACATATTACCATAGAACGTGAAAAATCTCTTAATTATAAAATAAAAGAATGCCTCCCCTCTTCAGGGTCTAACTCTTTAACATACCCTAATGCGGGGCATAAAATTGTGATTTATGCCAAAAAGCACATTAACAGACAACATGTATCAAAACTATTTCGCCTGAAGTTTCAACCAATCACAATAACATGCACGATCTAAAAAGCACAGAGCACAAATTGTTAATGAAGCAATTAAATTTCACATACTGTCCTTTAGTCCTAAATATTGTTCTAAAACTCACTAGGCACTAGTCGGGCGTTTGAAGGGCGCTAGACGGCCCAGTAGGCCATTTTTTGGCCGACTAGACAGAATTTTTAGCTGACTGAGCCGATTAGTCCTCTACAGTAGAGCCGACGAGGCTGACTAGGCCAATTTTTAGAACAACGGTCCTAAATAACAAACCATACAAACTAAATACAAAATCTGAAAAATTCTACAATGAAAATACAGATATTCCAAACTTTACCTGAGACCCAGCAAGCTCCTCAAACTGCTTGACCCATTCATCCATCATTGCATCACTCCCCAAATCCTGATCACCAGGAAGCTCCAAGCCATTTATCGATTCTAAGCCCTTCACAGCCTCCCTGGTTTGCTCTCTGAGCTTATCTAGAGCCTCAGAAGCGTGCGAGTCCTTCACAGCCTTGGATTCCTTCTTTTGCTTACCGGTTTTCTTAGCTCTCAAATCTGGCAATCCCATCCCTAGACCCTGAACCTCGCTAGGCATAGAACTCCCCTTCTCTTCTCCCACTTTACTTCTACAAAACCAAACCAAACCTTTTTCATCACTTATCTGTATATACACTTGTTAAGCATCAAAAGTTCAGATAAAATAAAAGGAGATTTATGAAACAAGAAAAAAGGGATACCTTTGAGAAGCACCAGCGATATTGAGACTCTGGAAATCATCCAAAGCGCCTGAAAGATATGCATCCTTATTCAGCAACTTAAATTAACACAATGGAAGAAGAGATTTCCCAGAATCCAAAAACACGCATGTATGCTGTAAGGGACATAGGAAAGGGGTTACGCGTTTACTTACTGTCAAGTAGCTGGTCTAAATCGTCGGAGTGATCGGTGGCCATGGATTTCCCCCAAATTTCTCCCAATCGATGCGAAGCTTTTCAACTCTTTGCAGTCTATCTACAAAAATCCGGTATTTTCAGTATGTTAGAAATAATGAGCACTGAAATTAGAAATGGCGGAAGGCAAGGACAAAATTTAGGCAGGAACAACTCCAACAAGCAGCAAGTAAAGGACTTCTAGGAATAGACTTGAGATGACGTCGTTTCAGGCGGAGTGACCGATAGTCCGATGACCAGAAATTAAATACGGAGTACTTTACCGTTTACACGGGTGCTCCCATATGAATGAATTTGGTCATGACACCTTTTGCCTTTTGGTTTCTCTTCGACTCACCCCATGGAAATTATGTTTTCGTACGAATTCAGTTTTCCAAATTTATTTGAGGTTATGTTTATAGGAAAGTGTTACATAAAATTGAATTGGGTTAAATTTTGAGAGTTGTGGAGTAAAAGTACACAATAATGCAATTGTGATTGTAGAGATACATAAAATTGAAAAATTAGTATTAATAACCAATTTGTACTAGCTGGTTTAAAATACCTACTTGACTAACGGATTAGGCGAATAAAAGTCACCTCATCCGCAAAATAAAACCCTAACCATTCTGGAGCCTTGATTTTCTGGAGGTATTTGAAGTACTTGGATATTGGGGGTGAAGGAGAGTGGAAGTTTTCCCAAATCCAGCTGAAAGAAGATGTAAGTGATAATTTGCGTGGCCGGCGTATGGGTGGTCAAAGAAATTGTTGTTGGCCGGCGTGGTGGGGGGCTAGAATCGGGGAGGATGTAGGGGAGTTTCTTGGTGGGTTTGTCCTATCGGGGTTGCAGTAGCCGGAGCTGCTAGTGGCGTTGGGAGGAGAGGGAGGGAGAACTGGGGTGGGAGAAGTGATGTTGTTGTGGCTGTTCGGGTTGGTGAATGGACGGAGATGGTGAAGAGATGCACACCGCCGGCGGGCGGGGAGGAGTCTTGAAGGTGGCGGAAGAAGGAGTTCGGAGGAAACGGAGGGTGTCACGCCAGAAATGGATAAAGACTCCCCGACTAAGAAGGAAACCAGGGCAGAGCTGGTTATCTGGAGGGAGCGACACTAATTGGAGTGGGCCGGTTGGATTGCACCGTTTACCGCCAAACGCTAATTATTGGCAAGTCAGCATTTTAAATGTGATAATACAGGTTCGTACTAAATTAACACTGATTTTTCAATTTTATGTACCTCTAAATCACACTTGCATTATTGTGTACTCTTTACTCCATAGCTCCCAACTTTATATACTCATTTGACACTTTTCTCGTTATGTTTTGTATGTGTAATTTAATGCAATAAAAATTGTAATGTCATGGAATGAAATCTTTATTTCATCACCATGATTGGTTACTTAAGTAATACTCCCTTCGTCCTGCAAAAAAGTTTTGCACGTGATTTACTGTTTGACTAGATATAAAGTTATCTGATCCTTGTGAGTGATTATTTTTGTAGTAAATCAAATTTACATGTTCATAAACTACATTAACAGTTTTATAAAATCCCAAAAGTAAAATTCAAATTTAATAAAAGTTGGATATACAAAGTAAAAGATTATTATACAACTTTTTTGATTAATTTCTCGTCCACAAACTGAACCATGTAACATCAATTTAATTTTTTGGAGTCTTCCATACAATGTCTTTTGACTTCATCAAAAGCTTCCTCCATTTTGCCAATAAGTTGTGATTTCAGCAACAGATCATCCTCTGCGATGACTTCTCCACCACCCTTATTGGTTCTCCATCTATTCTCTGCCATGCAAATAAAAGATATCCCCACTATATACCAATGAGATACTCGACCATATTGTCTTTCCCCAACCATCTTCACCACATAAACTTCAACGCAACTCATGACAAACATGGCAAACCAAGCTCCGATCTCGAACACTACCAATTTGCTGTTTTCCCCATTCCTACAATATTCCATGACACCTAAAATTGACCAATATCCAAGTCCAAATACGTTGACCACGATATGGGAAGCGACTAACGTTCGACAAATGACACGTTCAGTAGTCGATGCATTAGGATAACGTGACACATCCGAAACATTAGTCGCTTCCCAAGCGTGACTGAAAAGCCAGACGAACATCCAAACCCCGAGGATTAGTCCATGGCTACTCATCAATTTTCTTTTAAATAGTATCACTCCTAGAATTGCTACTGTGACCGTGATTCCTGTAAGGGACTAACAAAGGATTACAGAAGTAAGGATATGAACTGGGTGAGAATAATACGAACTAATTGCAGAATATTTTTTTTGCTCTCTCTCTTTCTGGTTTACATTATTGAGATACTTATACAAATACCAATAACAAACTCTAGGCTAAGAATTAGGAACGTGATATCCTAAAATAAAGCATAGCCACACAACTACCTAAAGACAAATTCAAATGCCTATTTATTAGCTAAATCAGAATTAAAACTAAATAACCACTACGTATTTTATTACGTGAACATCCCCCCTTAATTCTGATTTGGCAGGGGCTTCATTCCAAGTAGTCCCCTCAATTTGACAAATGCATCAATCTTCAATGGCTTGGTGAATAGGTCTGCAACTTGATCTTCACTTCTGCAGTATTCCAACTTGATCATCTTTTTGCCAACTTGATCCCTCAAGAAATGATAACGTATGTCGATATGTTTGCTTCTCCCATGTAGGACTGGGTTTTTGCCCAGATTGATAGCAGAGATGTTATCAATATAAATTGTAACTGGAGCTTGCTGTTTTACATTAATTTGGCACAGTATGTTGCTAAGCCAAAGAGCTTGACATGCACTGGACGCTACAGCAATATACTCTGCTTCACACGTGGATAAAGCAACAACTGATTGCTTCTTGGAGGACCACGAACAAACTGTTTTTCCCAGCATGAAACAGAAACCACTCGTACTTTTCCTATCATCCAGGTCTCCTCCCCAATCACTGTCTGAGTATCCTACAAGAGCATTTTCCTTGGATGATGAATAGAATAAGCCATAGTCACAAGTACCTTTAATGTAGCGTAAGATTCTTTTCACAACTTGTAAATGTGACTCTCTCGGAGACTCCATGTAGCGACTGACCAATCCTACTGCATAGCAAATGTCAGGCCTTGTACAAGTGAGATATCGCAAGCTTCCAACAATTTTCTTGAAATACGTTGGATCAACTATCCGTTTATCTCCTTCCTTGGTTAGTTTCAAACCAGTTTCAACAGGTGTTCTAACTGGATTTGAGTCTTGCATGCCAAACTTCTTTAACAACTCAGAAGCATATCTCTTCTGATTGATAAAAATTCCATCATCCTTTTGAACCACCTCAATGCCCAAAAAATAAGACATAAGCCCAAGATCAGACATGTCAAACTCCCTTGTCATACAACTCTTGAAATGTTCAATCATCTGGACATTGTTTCCTGAAAAGATAATATCATCAACGTAAAGGCATAATAAGAGTAAGTCACCAGATTTGTTAGCCTTCACATATAAGCCATGATCAGAAGAACACTTCTCAAAGCCAGTTTTTTGAAGAAACGAGTCAATCTGTGTGTTCCATGCTCGTGGTGCTTGTTTGAGACCGTACAAGGCCTTCTTAAGTTGATATACTTTCTCTTCCATTCCATGAATTACGAAGCCAGGTGGTTGTTTGACATAAACCTCCTCATCAAGTGGGCCATTGAGGAAAGCGGACTTGACGTCCATCTGGTGTATCCTCCATTGATTTTGAGCAGCTAGAGCAATCAGCAATCTCACTGTTTCCATTCGTGCTACAGGGGAAAAAATCTCTTCATAATCATAACCTTGTCTTTGCTCAAAACCCTTTGCCACCAATCTGGCTTTGTATCTTTCAACTTCGCCATTAGACTTCACCTTGACCTTGTAAACCCATTTGACATTTATAGCTTTGTGGCCTCGTGGGAGGTTTGTAAGCTGCCATGTCTTGTTTTTCTCAATTGCTTTCATCTCCTCCTTCATGGCATTGATCCAATTTGGATCATGAATGGCATCATCAAACATGACTGCTTCGGTATCTGCTAAAAAGGCCAAATGTACCAGTTCACCATCATCATTAATTTCATTATCAAGGTTTACCTCATAATCTTGTAGATGTGCTGGTATTTGCCTTAGCCGTCTCGGTCTTGATGTTCCAGGTTCTTGAGTTGTCACACTGGTCGTGACTGGGCTCTCCGGAGGCACACCCATATCATCAGGAATATCAAGTTCATCACCTAGAATATGAATTGCACGCCTTTGTGGATCCTGCTGTTCGTTCACATTCCAGTTCCATGCTTCGTCTTCAGCAAAGGTTACATCACGACTAACAATCACCTTTTTGGTATCTGGGTTGTATAGTTTGTACCCTCCTTGCTTGTAACCAACGAGCACGCACCTTTCAGCTCTATCATCAAGCTTCTTCCTCGTTGCAGCAGGTATATGAGCATATGCTACAGAGCCAAAGACCTTCAAATGTTTCACATTGGGCTTGTGTCCATTCCAGGCTTCTGTAGGAGTTGTATTTTTGACACTTTGAGTGGGTGATCTATTTAATAGATAAACAGCAGTTATAACTGCTTCAGCCCAAAAATAATTAGGCATATTTTTTGCTTTCAGCATGCTCCTTGCCATGTCAAGTATTGTCCGGTTCTTCCTCTCGGCCACTCCGTTATGTTGTGGAGTGTAGGGAAATGTTGTAGTATGCTCCACTCCATGGTTGCTGCAATAGTCTTCAAATTCTTTAGAGGTGTACTCTCCACCTCCGTCACTGCGCAACATCTTCAGTGCTTGCCCACTTTGCATTTCAACGACCGCTTTGAATTTCTTAAAGCATGTAAAGACCTCAGACTTGGCTTTCAAAATATAGACCCATGTTTTCCTTGTAAAGTCATCAATGAATGTGAGAAAATACCTGTTATCACCCAGTGATACAACATTCATAGGTCCGCACACATCTGTATGGACAAGCTCTAGATGGTGTTGTGCACGCCATGGTTCTCCTTGAAACGGTAGTCTGTGACTTTTGCCTAGTACACATGCTTCACACAACTGGTCCGGATGTTTGATATAAGGTAGCCCTTTGACCATATTTTGTTTAGCCAGATTTTCAAGACTTCGAAAATTTAGGTGGCCAAACCGTAAGTGCCAGAGCCACGAATCACAACTTGTAATAGCACTCAAACACTTATATTCACCTTTAGCTATATCAACTGGAAACATGCGATTTTTTGATAAAAAAGTTTTAAGAATCAGGGTACCTTTTTTATCAAAAATACAGAATTGGTTTCCAGAGACATGCATAACATACCCCTTCTCAGCCAGTTGTCCCATACTCAATAAATTACTCTTCATATCAGGTACATAAAAGACATCACTGATGTACCTATGATCACCATTCTTCAATGTGATGAGGATTTGTCCTTTACCAGTCACCGGAACAGTTCTGTCATCGCCAAACCTCACAGTTGTCCGGAATGATTCATCTAGCTCTGCAAACAACTCCTTGCTTCCACTCATGTGATTCGTGCACCCAGTATCCAAGAACCAAGTATGCTGGTTTAGCGTCTCATTTGATGCCGTAACCATCATAATTGCGTGATCAGTCTCAGTTGCATTGTCAACTGCATCACTACTGCTATCCTCCTTTGCATAGTTGGCAGCTTGGTTATCACCTCTGGATCTGCATTCATTTGCATAATGTCCGCGTTTGTGACAATTATAACACTCCACGTTGGACTTGTCATATTTGCCACTTCTTCCACGACCTCGTCCTCTCGATGAGGTATAACTACGTTGACTGCTAGAGTTGTTTTGCTCTGTGGGAGCTCCACAATTCTGACCACCCCGACCCTTGTTGGACTGGTAGCCACCTCTTCCTCCTCTTCCTCTTCCTCTTCCATGTGAATTATCTCCTTTTCGATTGGACTCACCAATCGAGGTTTGTGAGAGAAAGGCTTGCTCAATCGGACTGTGTAACCGATTTTCGTTCATTCTTTGTTCATGTACTCTCAATGAACCTGACAGCAATCTAACTGTCATTATCGAGAGATCATGAGCCTCTTCAATAGCTGCCACCACATGCTCGAATCGTGGTGTTAAAGTTCGTAGGATCTTCTCGACCTTACTCTGTTCAGTGAATGTTTCACCATTATTCTTCATGGCGTTTGTTAATGCAAGGACTCTGCCAACATAGGTGTCAACGGACTCGTTTGCCTCCATCTGCAAAAGTTCATATTGACGCCTTAAAGTTTGTAGGCGTACCTTCTTGATTTTCTCATCACCTTTGTAAGACGTTGCTAGAGCACCCCAAGCCTCTTGAGACGTGCTGGCACTCTCGATCAACTCGAAGGTTTCATCACTCATCCCTTGATGGATGAGATACAACGCTTTCTTATCCTTCTTCTTGGCCTCACGGTGGGCATTTCTCTGTGTCTCAGTAGCATTATCAGCCAACGCCTCTACTCCTTTCTCCATGACATCCACCAAATCATGGTATTCAAACAAAACCTTCATTTGCACACTCCAACGACTGTAGCGACCTCGTCCTCTCGATGAGGTATAACTACGTTGACTGCTAGAGTTGTTTTGCTCTGTGGGAGCTCCACAATTCTGACCACCCCGACCCTTGTTGGACTGGTAGCCACCTCTTCCTCCTCTTCCTCTTCCTCTTCCATGTGAATTACAGTCGTTGGAGTGTGCAAATGAAGGTTTTGTTTGAATACCATGATTTGGTGGATGTCATGGAGAAAGGAGTAGAGGCGTTAGCATTATCAGCCAACGCCTCTACTCCTTTCTCCATGACATCCACCAAATCATGGTATTCAAACAAAACCTTCATTTGCACACTCCAACGACTGTAGTTCTTTCCATCTAGGACAGGAACCGATAATAGGGATGTGTTGTTCATAATTACAGGTTGTAAAGGGTTGATGGTGGCTCTGATACCAGTTGTAAGGGACTAACAAAGGATTACAGAAGTAAGGATATGAACTGGGTGAGAATAATACGAACTAATTGCAGAATATTTTTTTTGCTCTCTCTCTTTCTGGTTTACATTATTGAGATACTTATACAAATACCAATAACAAACTCTAGGCTAAGAATTAGGAACGTGATATCCTAAAATAAAGCATAGCCACACAACTACCTAAAGACAAATTCAAATGCCTATTTATTAGCTAAATCAGAATTAAAACTAAATAACCACTACGTATTTTATTACGTGAACAATTCCTCCCAAAACAGGAACAATAAAAATAGTTACCAAATTGGTATAATTACCTGCAAGAGTATTTAAAAATAAACAAACAATTAAAAATTAAATAAGATTGGCTGGATTAATTGAAGTTATAAATAATTAAATACATGCATATAGATACTTGAAGGAGGTACGTACTATTCATGTGTGGTGGGTAGTAAGAGCAGCAATGAAAACAAAGATGGTAGCTGTGGAGTTGTTGTGATTCCTGATATTCACCAATATATAGTAGTTATGCGAGTGGTCCAACGTTTACAACCCACACTTTGTTAAGTTGAAGAATGTGGTTCAAGATATTAGGGATTAGGATCCTCAAGGTACCATTGAGAATGTAGAGGGCGGTGATCGAAAAAGGCTTCGAGATTCGTGAAAAAAGCGAGCTCCTTCATCTTTTACTATTGATTTTTTATCCCATGGCTGCCGAAGTAAGACAGAGAAGCTGGATCCAGTTAAATTCCCACACCAGAAATTTGTGAAGGAATAAAATACTATATTAAGACATAAACTATTCCTCCTATCATGTTAACCTGTTAGGATGGAACCCCGAATCTTAACAGATCCACATGTTAGTAGTCTTATTATGGGATAAAATAGGTAGTCCGATCCTATTCATGAACTCTCCTATATAAAGAATTTTCTCATAATATATTAACGGAAATTTGAATTTAACGCAAGATCCCATTTACATTTTTTTACTTTGTAGTGCATGTGAGACCTAAAAATTATGAATTGTACTATGTAGAATTTAGAAACTAAATAATAATAGAAATTGGGATATGCATAGTATTACATATAGAAAAAATACTTAAATAGGAGTAACCGAGTAAAATGTAACATAACCTCTCCATGTGAAAGTGTCATTGTTATTTTTTAAAAATAGGACGACTCATTCACTCCTACGTAGTATTTTTAATTGGAAAGTTTTGATTGTTTTATTCTAGCTTTTAATAAGAATAACCAAGTCGTGTTTCAGAATTGAAATATGTACATTTAATTTAGTCTTATTTTAAAACTTTATCCAGGTATCAATCCTAATTTGAACAATTTTTTAATTTATATTATATTTGCACGTTTTCCATCATTTGCAATGAAGTCAAAGATTCATTATTTTTTTGACTTGAGAATATGATGGAATAAAGCAAAATGGCTCACTAAACTGTCTGCACTTCTTTGTTATGAAGCAGCAATCAATCCATGCAATTTTGGACGCAATTTTCACTATGGGTAATCCGGAAACAGTCTCTCTGTGCTTTAGTACAGGGGTAAGACTGCGTACATCCGACCTCTCCTTACCCCACCGTAGGTGGGAGCCTTTGTGGCACTGGGGTAAATGAAAATGAAAATGAAAATGATATTATATTTGCACGATCTAATACTATATCTGAATGAGTTACAATATATACGATCATAACATATTCTCAGCCATCTAACACATCCACCCCAGCTAGTGTCCCATTCTCATTGAGAGAGATAAAGAAAAGGGGAGCATAACAAAGGGAGTAGGAATTTGTAACTAATATTTAATTAGCAAAATATGAATTGATTTGGATCATATAGGTGTTATTTAATGTGGTGATTGAAAAGGTGGTGAGATGAAAGAAAAAATTGGACAATAGAATGAGACTTTGGCTTATTGTATCGATCATACTTTGAGGTACGTAAGCTGTTGCCACGTAGCTAGCTAGTCAAGTGGGTATGGAGTAAATTGATGCAATCTTATTCGGGATATAGGCAAAGAAAATAGCGTTAAAAGAGTGAGCTATGGCACATGACATGCTGCCTAGCTAGTTATGAGGTAATTGAACTTTCAAATTCAATAAAATACTTTTCACTTAAATTTCTTTCAACCATATAAGTCCTGGTTATGGAGTTTTACTATATAGAAGAAGGTTAATTCTGTGAAAATAACAGAAAAGCTCGAAGTTGTCGTTTTTATGATTTGCTCATCCAGTGTACTCCGTCTTAGTCTTTTGATGTAGTGATGGACCCGGGCCGGGCCAAGGCCCGGTCGGGCCTCGGGTCTGGTAAAGGTAGGCCCGGGACCGGCCCGGGCAATGGCCGGTTCCGGTTCGGGCCGGGCCACCCAGCCGGGTCACGGGTCGGGCCACCCACCGGGCCGGGCCAGTATTTTTTTTAAAAAAATTAATTATATATTATACAAATTCCTTTTAAAAACAAAGTTCAAGTGCATTTATTTGAAATAGGAACTACATTTGAGAATTGAGAAAAAATAACAATACGAAATACATTTTCTAATGAATATCAATTAGGATTTCCGCCACCGTTGATTGTTGTTTTCCCTTTGTCACAGGATTTCATATGTTTTATTGGCATCCCGTATCCGTGTGAACGCCCCAAGCAACACTCTTTCTTGCACCACCTGCAAGTTGCCCACCACAGTCCGGTCTTCGGGTCCTTCCACTTGTCAAAATTGTTTTGCATAAGGGAAGATGTACTTTCCATATTTAAAAAGGTTTATGTATAAGTAGGATTGTAGGAATGTAGGATAATAAGAGAAGATGAAGATGGAGAAGAGTTGGAGAAGAGGTGTAGAAAAATGTTAGAAAATAGATGTATTTATAGATGTTTTTGAACCCCACTCCCCACACCACCACCCCCGGGACCCCCCTGCCCCCCACCCATAGCCCCAACGGCTATATAGCCGTTTGGGAGGTTTGATTTCAATTTTTTTTTAAAAGTTATACATATTGTAAAATAAATTAATTAATTTAATGAATTAAGTAAAACTAAAACTATTTGTACTTAGAAAAGTGGTTTGATTTATAATTTACAAATGTTACAAAATAGGTGTATAAGTATTTAAACAAATTACATATTGTAAATGTATTTTTAATTTAAAAACCGGCTTTATATTTTAGAAAAATAATTTTAAGTCGTTAGTTTGTAACCAATTAATTAATTTGAGAAGTGTTACATATGAAAAAGTGAACACATATTTATTTGAAATATGAAGTACAAGTTTACAAATTAATTTGAAGTTCAACTACAAATTTACAATTTTGAAATATGAAGTACAAGTTTACAATTTTGAAATATGAAGTACAAGTATAAATAAATTTGACAAGTGCTACAAAATACATTTTATAATAAATTCTAAAATACTAATCAATCGGAATCTCCGGCATAGGTAGAGCCACCATCGGTTGTTGAGTCATCCATAAAATCTTGGGAGGGGGTGATGCTCATTTCTTGAGTTCTACGTGCGGCCTTCAACCAATCGTGGTAGCATATATATAAGCGTCCCAAGAGACTCCGCGCTCAATCTCGATCTAGATGCCGTTAGGACGTTGCCAGCCGAACTAAATTCTTGTTCCACAGCAACTGTTGAAATCGGCATTGATAGTACTTGCTTAGCCAACCGTGCTAAAATCGGGAACGTTCTTTCTTTTGACTTCCACCAGTCTAGAACGTCAAAGTCATCATTTTCTTCAAAATCAACTTCATATGTTAAATACAAAGTAATCTCATTCAATGCACTTTGTTCAGTGACGTGAGTTGTTTTTGTTTTTTTCATAAGATTGTCAAATGCAGATTTAAAAATCGATTTTCCTTTAGATGAAGATGTTCGTGACGGGGGAGGGGGAGCGTTGCTATATTGTGCACGAAACTCATTAAATAAAGCATAAAATAAAGTACTAACCTCGTTGTATTCCGTTTTCGGATCTATGGGGTTATCGTCATACATTGGAAATTCACCAAAAAACGCAAGATAATAGAAGTTGAAACAATCTTCCAATTTAGCAAGTCTATAACGAGGATCAAGAATAAATGCAATATCATAAATATGGGGAATATGCGCATAATATTTTAAAAACTTTTCCTTCATATAATCACAAAAATAATGAACGAAAACGGCATTCTCAAATTCTTTAAAAGCACCGGCGAGATTAACAGCTTCACGAATAAATTGGTTTGCGGTAGATTTATAAACATGACTAAAAGTTTCAGTAGCATTAAAAAAAATATCAAAACATTACAAATTTTTTCGCAAGTGTCGATCTCAGCCGCGTTTATAATATAGTTATCATGTTCTTTATATCTAAGAACAACTTTAAGTAATTTATAAGTACTATTCCAACGAATACTCAAATCTTTAGGAAAAGCAACATATCTCACACCTCTTTCAGTCAAATAAATTTGCCATTTTAATTTAAGTTGACCATTACCCCAAATACGTCTAATCCCCCCTTGATTACCTCCATGGAATCTCCTAACGCTTTTAAACCGTCTTGCACACATAAATTTATAACATGGCATGCACACCGTTGATGAAAAAATCTATCCATCAAAGTATTGGCACCACACAACTCACGCAATCTAGGTATAGCAGCAATATTATTAGTAGCATTATCGAAACCAATAGCAAACACCTTATCAATCAAATTATACTCAATTAAAATACGCTCAATCAAAATATAAATATGTTCAGCGGTGTGACGATCATTAAATTCACGAAAAGCAAGAACACGTTTATGCATATTCCAATCCTCATCAATATAATGTGCAGTCAGACCCAAATAATATAAATGATGAAAATCATCCTCCCATATGTCAGAACAAATAGTAACACGCCCATCAAAGTTTGCAAAAAAAATTTGTAACTTTGCCTTTTCCGCATTATAAAGCCTTATTATTTCTTTCTTATCAGTTTTGCGACTATAATTTCTAAATTGAGGATTTAAACTACCTTGTGCATAATCTCTTAAAGCAAGACTTTCAGAAAACAAATAAGGCAAATTTTCTTCACAAACTAAATTAGCCATACCAGTCAAATTTTGTGCATCATTGTAGGAGAAATTACCAAAAGGTTGAGAATTCGCAAACCTCGATATTTGAGTTTGCTTCCCCGTTCCGCCGCCTAATTTTGCATACTCCACGGGGTGCTTTGCCTTAAGATGCCTTGCGGCGGATCCGTATCCGCCGGAGGTTCCCAAACTATAATTGTTGTTGCACCACTTGCAAGTTGCGTGCCAATAGCCGGTTTGTGGGTCCTTCCATTTATCAAAATTATTTTTCATTAGTTCAGACTTACTTTTTTTATTACCGGTGGCGGTTTGGGATGAGGCAGGCTCGTCGGCGTCGTGGCTGCCGGCACCCTCCTCCTCGGCCGTCTCCGGTTCCAATTCCTCCGCATCTTCATCCTCAAGCTCCTCTTCGTCAATGGTCGTCGGGATTTGTTGTTGTTGTAGAAAGCGGTTATTATGTCGGGCCAATTCTTGTTGGAGTTGTTCTTCGGACATCGCATCTCCATCTCGCCTTTGGTAACCCGTTTCAAAATCATCTCGGCTTTGAGATGAAGAACCGGCAAGTTCTTTACCTTTGCGGGATTTCTTCCTCCCAATCTCGTTCCTTCGATTGCGTTGGAGGTTACCCAAATCAACCGAATATCTACCACCTTCCATCTTAAAAATGTAACAAATATTAATTGACAACAAATATAATAATGGATACAAAACTAATGCAACTAATTAAAACTATTTTAATTAATACTTCAAATTAATTTAGTGCAAAGTAGAATTAATGTGTGACTTTAAAATTAAAATTATACCAACTTTTGAAGTACTTTAATTTAGTAAAAACTACTTAAATAAAATGTTAAGTACTTTAATTAAATGATTGAACTACTATTTCTTCCTACAAATATAACTTGAAAATAAGAAAATGTGACTTTACCTATAATGACAATTAACTAGTTTATTGAAGTAGAGTTGTTTTAACAATTAATGAGAATACTAATGAAGTAAATAACTAGTATAATAAAAAATGTAACAACAATGCTAATTAACTAATTAACTAGTATAATGACAAATGTAACAAGAATGCTAATAAACTAATTAACTAGTATAATGAAAAATGTAACAATAATGGTAATGAACTAATTAACTAGTATAATGAAAAATGTAACAATAATGGTAATGAACTAATTAACTAGTATAATGAAAAATGTAACAAAAATGCTAATTAACTAATTAACTAGTATAATGACAAATGTAACAAGAATGCTAATAAACTAATTAACTAGTATAATGAAAAATGTAACAATAATGGTAATGAACTAATTAACTAGTATAATGACAAATGTAACAAGAATGCTAATAAACTAATTAACTAGTATAATGGAAAATGTAACAATAATGGTAATGAACTAATTAACTAGTATAATGAAAAATGTAACAAGAATGCTAATTAACTAATTAACTAGTATAATACTAGTTATAGTAAGTAATATATAATATAATGTTTATAGTATATAATATATAAGTATACTACTATAAGATGAGTAATACACTTATATTTTATACTTTAATATATAAAGTATATATTAAGTAGATGTAGAATGTATGTATTAAGTGGATATAATAATTGTATAAGAATTAAATATTAGAGTATAATGGAGAATTGTAGATTGGAAAATAAGAAAATAAGTATATATAAAATATAAGTAGAGAAGTAGATATTATTATGTATTAAGTATATAGTAATAGTTTATAAAGTATATTTAATACTTTATTATATAAAGTATATATTAAGTAGATGTAGTATGTATGTATGTATTAAGAGATACAAGTAGAGATTAAGTAGATAAGAAATATAAGTAATATAGTATATGTATTTATAAGTAGATAATTAATATATAAGTAGATATAATAATTGTATAAGTATTAAATAGTAAAATAAAATATAAAGGAGAATAAGAGAATTTGAGAAGATGAATATGGAGAATTGGAGATGAGTAGAGAGTAGGATTTAAGTAGAGTTGGAGAAGAGGTGTGAAAAAATGTTTAAAATTAGGAGTATTTATAGGTTTTTTTTAACCCCCACCCCCCACCCCACCCCACCCAAGGGCCCCGGACCCCCCTGGTACCCACCCAACGGCTATATAGCCGTTTGGGAAGTGGCTGTTGAGCCAAAAATGGTTTTTAAAATTAAAAGTTTTTTTTTTTTTTTTTGAAAATTGGACCGTTAGGCCCGGGCCCGGGCCACCGAAACCAACACCCGAGCCCGGACCCGCCACCCCCACCGGTTCAATGCCCGAACCGGACCCGGACCCGAGCCGGGTGGCCCGAACCGGGTCCACCACTATTTTGATGTCACTTGACAAACTTGTACACAAAAAAAAAAAGAGAAAAATTATCTCTAGACTTTAGAAAGATAAAAATATGATACTCTGTCTGTCGAAATTGATCTCCAAAGTTAACTAATGCAATACTTCAAAATTTGCACCAATTCAACTAATATTACAATAAAAATTGATAAGCCACACAAGGAATATCAAGAGACCTGTTCTATTTCTTTTGGTTTGTTAAAAAAAAAAAGTTTTGAAAATATTTTGAATGTCAAGTACCTTGTGATCTAATGACATCACTGTGACAATCCCAAGGAGGAGGTCACAGGTTCAAATCTCATCCCAATTCAAGAATGTTGTCATTAACATTAAGTAGATAACTACATAGGTTACAAAGAATTGTTCAAAAAAAAAATTGGATAGTTCTTTTGCTAATCAAATTCAACTATTTTAACCATTTTTCAAAAATCCTTGGGCATCACAAACCCCCTGCACGGTTGCACTTGTAGGAGACTAGGACATTCACAGTTTCATACGGCATTGGGAGTTGGGACAGGACCTATGGTTATTTGACCCAAAACAGACCCAATTTTTTAAACTGGAAGACTGGAACCAGAACAAAAACCAGTGCAGGTCCAGTCTGGTTGGTTTCAAATCTTTCAATTAGGTGCTTTCACTTTTGATCAAAATTTTCTAATCCGGCACGATCTAATTTAATAAATGTCTGATAAATACATTTCACTGTTGTGAACTAAAACTCATCCAAGTAAAACAGCTTCAATTCGTAAATGGGCCAGAAATGATGGGGTCCTGCCCTACTGCTTTTCAAAATCTTGACTATCTGATCCAAAAGGAGAGCAAGAACAAGCTCATATCCCTTTCTTAGACTACGCATCATTATAAGCTCACAAATGGACATGAATTAACACAAGGCAATACGCACAATGAAACTGTTTCATGTCAATGTTAAAACATCATCATCATGTCATACTACAAACATAACAACCCCAAACTGAAAATTAACGATGTTGTACTACTGTCTGCGTCAATTAACAGCCAAATTTCCCAGAGAAAGCCAATGTTCATATTGGTACACAAGTATAAATAAAAAACACTTGCCCATACTGGTAGATTCTTCCTTCATACTCTTGCCCCCCACTGGATCCTGAAATTTTTCGTAGTATAGAACTTTAAACTAATAAGATCTAGACAGAAAAAGGTTGGAGAACTACACACACAAGTTTGCACAACACCGCCTCATCTACTCAAACATAGAAAGAAGATCATGAACCCATTTCCCGACAAATCGAGAAAAACAATTCTTTCAATGAGCCCACTCCAAACAAAGGATCATTCAATACAATCCCCGCCCAAGACTGCCCTAGCTCCAAATACAACCAAAATTTTGAGAACACCCTACTTGTCAATAAGGAAAAAGCAACTCACCATGTGGGAACTTCAAACTATGACTTTAGAACCGATTAAATGATTTCCCATAATCATTACGTCTCTGACGAAAATCACCAAAGCTATCATGGGGCCTTGATGGAGGATAACCTTCCATGGGATTTGGATACCTGCTCCTGGAATCTGTGGGCAAAATGGATTCAGAATAATGTGTGTTTCCTGCAGGATTTGGATACTCTGTATAAACAGTTTGATTGTATGGATGACCGAATCCAGAAGCATGCATATTTTGAAGACTAGTAGAAGGTTGCATCCTTCTTTGGCCATCGATTTGAATCAACTCTTCCCTTTGCTTGGCATATGTCCCTTTGAGGAAAGCCATATTTTTCATGTAATTCTCCCTTATTTGCCGGACAGCCTTGAAAAAAGGTGTCAGGTCAGAATTAAGCTTGGTTGGTTAAAGAAATATTTAGGCATGAGCCTAATAGTCCAAAATAGGAATTATACCAAAATCAATCTGAAGGGCTAAGCTTTTTTAAACCAGAAAAATACATGAGATAAATGAGTTTATTTTACGATCAAGGTTTTTATATAAGGACATGCCTCACGATGCTTATGATTCTCTTCATCTTCTTCCTTGTCCCGAATCCTTCCGAGTTCATCAGCATCTCTCTTATATTCCAGTTCTATTTCTTCCAATGTCTGCAGAAAAGCTGGGTAGTGAACATTATGGCCAGATTCCATGTCAGACACTCGTGGCTCACCATTCCAACCATCACTATTTGTGTAGGCATCCCTACTCTGACTACGTCGATCCCAAAAAGACCTCCGTCCCGGAGACCTTGACTGGCTTGAACGTCCTCTAGCTCCATCACTATTATAAGCTATATATATATACCAAAGGAAGAATTTGTTAAGAATAAGAACATCCTTTAAGACCTCTGAAGTCTCTATAATGATGGCAGCTTTGACACAAAATATTGAACTTCTCATTTACCCATCTAAAGAGAGTCTGGACATGCTTTCAGTTTAAAATTTTCATTTTGGTGACAGTACCTTTAATATCAGACCCCCATGTAAGTTACATCAGAATCGAACAGAAATCTTGGACAGAAGAACTTACCTCTTGCTGCAAAAAAATTTGGGCAACAAGCAACAATACATTATTATTAAAAGGAAAACAGAGGAATTCAAAGGAGCATACTAATAAAACAACAAAAGGCATGACTTAGAGTGTCTTAAGATCCCAATTTAGTGTTACTAGCACATTAGTATGAAAATACAACTGTATAATAGTATCTGCTTACCTTGGGGAGAACCCCTGGAAATGTTCTGCAATTCTTCATGAAACCTGTCACCAATTGTCTTCTCTTGTCTTGCACGTCTGACATCAAACTGTGAGGCTCTATGTGGGCTTTGATTCGATCTCTGTAGACCAGAGTGTACCAAACGAGTACTAACTGGGCTCCTGCGCTCAGGAGGTGTCCTGGATCTGGAAACGTTAGAATTGGGAAGGGATTTTTTCTCGCCTTCTTCTTTGACTTTGTGAACTGCATCCACTCCCTTCTTCAAGATCAACCTATCCTTCCCACTAACAATAATAAATTTTTCCTCAATTTTAATCTTGCATCCAATATCCTTCTCAATCTGAGTCACCACTTTCTCAGTGAACAAGGCTTTTACGTGATTTTCTCTGGCAGGCACTCTTTCGAAAAAATCTTGAGACTTCCTATTAGCTCCAAGAGTTGAAGGACAGCCCTATAAGTAGGTGGGGTTAGCAGGATATTTGATATGTATAAAATTAGTCTTGAATATATGTCAATTGGTCATGTTATGTTTCCAATACAATGGACTTCTCTAGTACCAAATCATATGACTATCATTGAACAAACCCATTAGTGAAGAAAAGGAATAAACCCTGCACTAGTACACTATAGGAATACCAGATGCTGAAAAACAGGAACATCTAATACCAGCTTGAGAATTTAGAATGTGCAGTTACATAGAAAAAGCCTTTATTACACTGAAACATAAGAGTCATTAACCACAAAGTTATTTCACTTATTTGCATTAGGTTCAAAGATAGGCCCTCGAAAATGCCAAGTTTGGGATGATGAGTAGACAAATAAACACTGAGACTTCATATAGCCTTGAAGTATTTTATTAAATTACCTGCAGCAGAAATTTAGTGAAAAATTTGCAATTTAAAATTCATATTAAAGCGAGACCGAAAAGAAACATTAAAGAAAGTTGTAAGATTTATAGGTATATGGCATGTTAAAATACATCACTTAAACATGTTCTAACTATCACAAACAAGCAAATATTGGCTTCCAACATGTGTGTATGCTTGTCATTTGAGGACCTTATGCCCAATGATGCAAGAGGGAAAAACAGCTCAAAATAGAGCTTATACCTGTGTAAAGTGTCCTGACTCTCCACATAGTTTACAAATAAACTCTTCCTCCTTCCTTTTCTTCCAGTTTCTCTCGGTTGCTTTCGATTTAGCTTCCCATACCTTTGCTTCTCGGCTAGTAAAATCAGTAGGAACAGCATTTGGGTCAAGAGCCTCTTCTTCCTCATCAGAACCAGTTTGGGGCCTTTTGTTTGATATTGGTTTTTCCTCCGTCTTGGGAGCAGCAGTAGATCCAAGAGGGCCAGTATACTCCTTGTATATATCACTGAAATCATCATCATTATCTGAATCCTGCATACTGCTCATTTCCGGGTAAAGCGATCACACCTGCATAACAGGAGCAAGAGAAGCAGGGAAATGAGAAAATTTCCTGTGTAGTAATAAGAATTATTAATGCACATTCATGAATTTCACATTTCCTTATCATACGGAGCACATTCTGAGTTTCCACTGCAGACCATTTAGTAAAATCATTGAAGAATATTGCATAAAAATTTCTTGGAACAGCGAACTTCCGATTAACACACATATAGGCATGAGGTTTGAACTGTATCAACTCAGCACAATGCAGTGATTAGGAAAATATACATACTCTTCGTATCAGATTCAAATTCGAGCAATAAATTTCAATGTATCAGATGTAAATATTAGCAGGACATGCACAGTAAAGAACGCAAGAAAATGAAAAATCTGATGAAACGCATTATGAATCGAAGAACCCGAACAGCGTACAGTAAACTGTATTCATTGAGCAATAAGTCTGATAATAAAATGAAGAAACTGAGAAACCGGGAAAAAATAATAATACGGAGTAATACCTTAAAGGGAACGCCTTCACGCAGAATCCGGCGGCGCCGGAAGTCCGATTACGAATCCTCTAGGGCTCTGGCTTCCAGTCGCATAAAAATGTGACGCACGGTATTTAGAAAGCAGGTGAGTGTACGGAAAGACAAGTGGTGTACCAGTGTAGGTCTGTAGGAAGAGGCTAGGGCTTCTATAATTTCTAAATACTCCGTATTTTTAAAATGTGTTTGGCTGTGGTGGTGTTGAGGAAATTTGTTTTTGGATGAGTTAGATTCTTATATGAAATGAGTAGATTTGTTATAAAATTAACTAATCAAATTGGTTCAATTTTTAAATAAAAATTCAAGAACCCGTGATTGAACAAATAGATTCTTGTTTTTATCAATTCCTAAAAGTAATTTTTTTCATTAAAAAAAACACAATTTACTTTTTACCAAACAAATATGTCAAAAATTCAAAACACACGAAATAAATACTTTTTCAAGCTTTAATCATTTCAAACATCAAATCCAAATTTAATTTAGTAAACACTTAATAAGATGATCTTTTTTTGAATTTTCATTTGTAAATAAAATAGAAGAATCACAATATTTTGATATCGATAAAGGTTTGATATCATAGTAGCAAAAACAAGACATCCCGTTCTAGTACCACTAAACTTAAAAAACACATTTAATACCCAGTACCTATATAAGCACTATTACATTTCAAATCTCATAAACACCATTTACAATGATTCTCATAATTACAATAATCTTGAATATTGTAAAGTAGTCACTAAAAATATAAGAGACCAACACGATTTATTTCAGTTACTTTTATAATTATGAAATATACGTGATGGAACATGGTTTAATTTGTAAAAATGATTTTAATATATTCATCCTCATATACAATAATTTATAACTTCCGTTTTCAACAGTTAAATTTATAATGTTGTGTAGCTAAATGTCATCGGTTATATTATTGTTATTATTACTAGTGTTGTTACTATTATTATTGTTATTGTTTTTTGTTATGTTATTATTGTCAATTTTATTATTATTGATATTACTGTTTAAACTTTCAATTTTTTATTTTATTAATAACATTTCCTTAGACATATTTTTTGTAGGAATCAAGAATCGAACCATTAACAAATAATATGAACCGAACTGGATTTTAACAGTTTGGTTCCAATGGTTATTCAATTCCAACATGTAACACCCCCATTTTTCCCACCAAAATAAAATAACATTTTGAAATGAAAACATCTTTATTATAAAATATATTTAGAGTACAGCGGAAGTCTTTAATGGAAAAACAGGTGTGTCACCGCCACACTCAACCTATACATGATTGAGTGCACAGGCTATCCACCATAAATTCAAGTAGCCATCGGGTAAAACTTATAACAAGTTTATGGATTACAAATTTAAACAATAACAATTAATCAAACGTGTGCAACTAGCGGAACACTCGGGCAGCAAGTACATCAATCTTCATAATCATAATCATCTGTACAATAGAGCAAAGAGAAAAAGAGAAAAAGAGACAAAAATTAGCTTTAGAGCTAAGTAAGATTCCACCCGAACCCGTAAAATAATATAATTTGGAAAATAGGTTTTTTGTATATGTATATATATTGAAAAGTAGTCTCTCATATTTCCAAAATGGTTTAATGTCATAAAATAATTTCCACAATAGATAATATCATCCTTCAATTCCTCCAAAAGTAATACTTTAGATTCTTTTAAGAGTGGGCGAAACTCAAGATTCCTCGAGCCCAATGAGTCGTTGTTATCTATGACTCATCCCGGAATTCCGGCTCCCACCGACCACCAATTGGAAGCTGAATTTCTACCTTAAGTGTGCACACCCTCTAAAAGGGATTCCAAGCCCTCCGAGTAGTAAGAAACCCAAGTAGGCAGGATGTTTTCTACCACCTACTCACAATGGACATTGTCCAAGGGTAAATTAGGTAACTACTACTACGACCACCAAAGGATCTTTGATCCTCAAATAAAAGCCCGGAATGTCTACCGGAGTATGTCATTGTCGGACTGGTTACCGACCCAAATAAATTTCACCAAAAGTAGTAGTAGTCCTAACCACCCACGCCTCGTGTTTCTCTCGAGACGTAAGAATATATATTATGAAAACTTTAAGTTTTCCCCAAATCATTCTTGTCACATTTTCTCAAAATATCCTTTGTAATAAATGTAAATCCACCAATATTCTTTAATAAAAAGAATATACATTTAATCATCCATAAAAGGTAATAATCCACCAATATTCATATAGTCAAAATATTCGATCCATGTCAAACATATAATTTCCGATTCATAAATAATTCACATAGTGCAAATATTGCATACATATAATTAAGTACGAGGCAAAACATTTTGGTTGACATAGAACTTACCTTAAATTGCGATAATCTCCTTAATAAAATCTCTAGCTTGATCTTCACTTGAATTCTCCTTCTAATATTGATCAAAATTCTAAATCAATAACTATTCTATTATTTCGTTATTTCTTTTATATCCAACCTTTAATTACTTTAACTTCATAATTCCTTCTTTAAATATAAATATTAAATTAATAAATCTTACTAACTGTTTATTTCCAGTTCATTCTTATTATTTTCTTTAATTATAATAACCCAACTCGGTTTTTCTTAATTTGTTTGGTTAAATAGTTAACTAGTCCAATTATATTACTACATAATAATTTCATTATTTCGAATTTAGATAATCAATTTCAGTTCAAAATTCAGTTTACATAATTTATATAATTTATTTAATAACCCTTTTAATAATAACTTGACTTAGGCAATAATTCGAAATAATAATCATTAATGATAATCTAATCTCAATAACAACTTTAATTAGTTCAATCGTTTATTTATACTAACTAACCCAATTAAATTAATTTATCCAATCCTCCAGTTTTATTTATTTGACTCACTAATTTAATTGAACTAACTAAATCAAATAAATAAGTTTAATTATATCAATATAGCTAAATACGTTAATCTAATTCAATTAAGTCCAATAATCAAATTCTAATCTCGTTTTAATTTTCTATTTTTAATATAAAGTCCAGAGATGTTATCAAGTCTATAAATTAACTAATTTATCCATTAAACTAATTGATTTAGTTAAACTAGTCCAATGAAGTCAATTAACTAACTTATTAAGTACACATTACTTAATTAATTTGTTTATATTCATCAACTAATTTTTATGAGTTCAAATAGTTTAATAATTTATATGGAGTCCAAATCACTAATAATCAAGGATAATAATTATTAATTTAATCACGCTAATTTAATTAGTCAACTAATTCAATAATTTATTTATTAAGTCCAAATATAGTCATTCATTTATACTAGATAACCCAACTTTATTTTCTTTTCCTTATTTTATTACAAACATCATTTTAGTCCAGAACATTATTTTCAATCTTAGTGATTTATTTATTTCACCATTAATATCAAAATTTCCTTATTTAATTACTTAACTAGTTTATATGGCTCAATTAAATTAAATAACTTAATCATCACTTTTATAAATTACTAATCATCCATAACTATAGTTTGGGTCTATACTAGACCTAGGTTGTCCAGATATTTATTTTAGAATTATTTCCTTTATTTATTCACTTAATTTCATATATCTATTAACCGGTTTAATTACAATTAAATATGCTAATTATAATTTTTATTAATTATAAATGGTCCCAAATGTCCTATTTAGTCATATATTTAATCTAGCTTGCACCCATATTTATTTCATAATTATTTTCGTCATTTAGTTAATTATTTACTAAATGTGTACAACTTGGCCCAATTACAATTAAATCAATTAAAAATAGCTACAAATATTATTTTTCAATTATTCTTGGTCCGAATATGTATTTTTATACCAGGTATTTAATTTATATTTTTCCAGATTTTATTTATTTCATTTACTATTTTATTTTTAATTTTTTATTGAAAACGGGCCGAACCGGCCCAAATTCGCGACCCGGCCCAAGAAGACTGGGTTGTCTCCTTCCCAGCTCTTCTCCAGGTCGCGATTCCGACGACCGGAATCCCGAAAACTCCGGCGAGCGATAACTTTACTTACAGGTAACGGATTTCGACGATTCCAGTTGCAAAATGATCCTCACGTCGAGGAGAAGCTCCGCCACCCCTATCTACGGCAAAATCGTGTCTTTTCTGAAGACCCGTTTCCACGGCTTGCAACTCCGGCGACCTCTAGGATGCTCCGGTGACTACGAATCGGTCTGGAATTTATTGGGAAGTATTCCTAGACCTCTCACGACCCTCCTCTCTTGCTTATAGGCAATTTCTTACGTAAATATATATATATATATATATATGTGTATATTTCCGGCGAGTAAGTATATATATTTGCTCTACTCGTTTTCTTAAGTTTTGTAGTGATTTAGAATGTCAATGGAGCTGTATTTATAGCTGTAGATCGAGCCTTATGGAGCTGGACGAGTTGTGTGAATTATTGTGTGAATTACTTTGATAAAATACATACATATTCATAATTCAATGTATACACATTATATGGTAGGTGTGAAGTCATGAAGTTGTTTCCTAGCATGTGAATATGTCCTCCAAATCTTTGTTATGATTTTCTTATCAAAATATGTATTAATATGTGTGTGTTTTTGTTGTAGTATATATATATATATATATATATATATATATATATATATATATATATATATATATATATATATATATATATGCATGTACGTACTATATATATATGTATATATTACTTATATGTAGTTATATATATAGTATATTACTTATATATACTTATAGTTTATTCATTTGTATTGTATTTCTTTTATTTCATTAATGTTTATAAAGTTACTTGTAATTATTTTATTTATTTCCATTTACTCTGACAGATATATTTTATCTGGTTTATTTTTATTTTTATTTTATTTTATTTTTCTGATGCCACATAAGTGTTTAATTCTATTCCATGTAGTGTGCGTATATTTTTATACACCAAGTATAATAAAAATATACTTTGATATTACTTTCATTTGATTTATCAGATATAACTTATCTGATTTGTTTATTTATTTTTATTTCAAATTTCCAAGGTATCACATTCTACCCTCCTTAAAGAATGCTTCGTCCTCGAAGCATAAACTAAGACAAGAATTGAGTATGAAGATGAAGTATTATAGGTTTATAAGATATTACAACCTGCCCCCCTAAAAGAAAGGTTACGTCCTCGTAACCCAATATTTACCTTAGTTGAACAGTTCAGGATACCGTTTACGCATATCCTCTTCTGTCTCCCATGTTGCATTCTCGGTCAAATGGTTTGACCAAAGTACTTTTACCATCTTAACTGTCTTCTTCCTCGTCTCTCTGGTTTTAGTATCAAGGATCTCTACGGGTTTTTCTTCATAGGATAACGCCTCATCCAGTTCAATCACCTAATAATATAAGGGTTAACTTATATTATTTCCAATTTACTTTGGTTCATGTTGAGTTTAGGGTCTCTTACCTCAGGATTGATGATATGTGACTCATCTCGAACGTACTTCTTTAATTGTGATACGTGAAAGACGTTATGTACCTAGCACAAGTTTGTATGTTAAGGATGAATTCTAATCGTTGAGAAGTATTTGATTTCAAATCGGTTGTTACCTTATCCAACTCCGTGGGTAGAGCTAATCGATATGCCACTTTTCCCACCTTCTCTAGGATGTCATAGGGTCCGATGAATCTCGGGCTTAGTTTCCCTTTCTTCCCGAACCTCATTACACCCCTTGTAGGAGAGACTTTGAGTAGAACTTTCTCCCCTAATTCGAATTCAGCTGGTTTCCTCCCAAGATCGGCATATGATTTCTGTCGGTCTTGGGCAGCCTTCATCCTTTCTTGGATGACCTTGATTTTCTCAATAGTATCTTGCAAGTATTGTGGTCCTAGAACCACCTGATCGACCATGTCACCCCAACATAAGGGACTCCTACACTTTTGACCATATAGAGCTTCGTATGGGGCCATTCTGATGCTAGCATGGTAACTGTTATTGTACGAAAACTCTACCAAGTCTAGGTGTTCATCCCATGATCCTTGCAAATCAAGAACACATGCCCTCAACATGTCTTCTAATGTTTGGATTGTTCTTTCGGTCTGTCCGTCCGTGGTTGGATGGAAAGCAGTACTTAACTTCAATTTTGTTCCCATAGCCGTTTGTAATTCTTTCCAAAATTGGGATAAGAATCGTGAATCTCGGTCTGATACGATGTCTTGAGGTACTCCGTGGTGTTTGACCACGTGTTTGACATAGGCTTTTGCCAGTTTCTCCATGCTCCAGGTTTCATTCATAGGAATGAACCTTGCAGTTTTGGTCAATCTATCCACTACCACCCAAATTTTATCTTTCCCGGACTTTGTTAAAGGTAAACCCCCGACAAAGTCCATTGAGATTGAATCCCATTTCCATGTTGGTACTTCCAAGGGTTGCACGAGTCCCTTGGGTTTGCATCTCTCCGCTTTGACTTTTTGGCAGTTCAAACATCGGGATACAAATTCAGCTACTTCTTTCTTCATTCCCGGCCACCAAAAGTTCTTTTTGAGGTCTTTGTATAGTTTGTCTCCCCCGGGATGTACCGAGTAGGGCGTGTTGTGTCCCTCCTCCATGATTTGTTTTTTAATATCTGTACACTTCAGTGGAACACACCACCTTCCCTTGTATCGGATGCTCCCATCTTCATGTACCTTAAATGGTCCGTTGACGCCATCTTTCATTCCTTCCTTGATTCTCTCGAGCTTTACATCTCCCGGTTGTCCGTTCTTGATTTCGTCAAAGATAGATGGTATAACAGTCATAGTACATAACTGTATTTCACCATCTACTTCGCCATATTGCTTTACTTCCAAGCTCAATCTTTGGAAGTCTCGGAATAGTTCTTCTGGTAATATCCATGTTGCTCGGCATGAGTGCTCAGATTTCCGACTCAAAGCATCCGCCACCACGTTAGCTTTTCCCTCGTGGTATTGGATTTCTAGATCGTAATCATTGATAAGCTCGAGCCATCTTCTTTGCCTCATGTTAAGCTCTTTTTGAGTGAATATGTACTTCAAGCTTTTGTGGTCAGTGTATATCTTACAATGTGCTCCGTATAGGTAATGTCTCCAGATTTTCAAAGCAAACACTACTGCAGCTAACTCCAGGTCATGGGTAGGATAATTGACTTCATGCACCTTTAGTTGTCTTGATGCATAAGCCACCACTTTCCTATTCTGCATCAGCACACACCCCAACCCCTTCTTGGATGCATCACTATAGATATCAAATCCCTCCGTCCCTGACGGTAGTGTCAAGACCGGCGCAGTTGTGAGTCTTTTCTTCAACTCTTGGAATGCTGCTTCACAATCTTCATTCCATTGGAATTTGGTTGACTTCTTTGTCAGGTTGGTTAGCGGTCTTGCTATCTTGGAGAAATCTTTAACAAATCTCCTATAGTATCCCGCTAGACCCAAGAAACTTCTTACCTCTGTGACCGAGGTAGGTGCACGCCATTCAACCACCGCTTCAATCTTTGATGGATCTACGGATACGCCTTCCTGGGTGATGATGTGACCCAAGAACGCTACCCGATCCTGCCAGAAGTCACACTTTGAGAGTTTGGCATACAACTGGTTCTCTCTCAAAGTTTGTAACGTGAGTCTCAAGTGTTTCTCGTGATCCTCTGGGGTTTTTGAATACACAAGAATATCATCGATGAATACCACCACAAATGTATCAAGATAAGGTCGGAATACACGGTTCATTAAGTCCATGAATACCGCCGGTGCATTCGTTAAACCAAACGGCATCACAGTGAACTCGTAGTGTCCATACCTCGTGCGGAATGCTGTTTTTGGTACATCTTTTTCGGATATTCTCACTTGATGATATCCAGAGCGCAAGTCTATCTTAGAGAATGTGCTAGCCCCCTTCAATTGATCAAACAAGTCGTCAATTCGGGGCAATGGGTACTTGTTCTTGATAGTTGCTTGATTCAACTCTCGGTAATCGATGCATAGCCTTAGACTCCCATCTTTCTTTTTGACAAATAAGACCGGAGCACCCCAAGGTGAGACACTCGGTCTTATGTACCCCTTCTCTAACAACTCCTCTAGTTGTTCCTTCAGCTCCTGCATTTCTTTCGGTGCCATCCGGTAAGGTGCTTTTGAAATTGGCGCGGTTCCGGGCATCAACTCAATTGAGAATTCAACTTCTCTCTCGGGTGGCATCCCTGGAATCTCTTCCGGAAATACATCCGGAAATTCATTGACTACGGCAATTTGGTCAATGTTTGGCTCCCCTGTATTCACCTCTTTCATAAAGCACAGGTATGTTTCATACCCCTTTCGGATATGTCGCCTTAATTGTTGCATAGTCATCAGCCTCATACTAGGCTTGGATGTGATTGCTTTGTAAGATATTCGCTTCCCATTTGGACCCTTCAAGATCACCTTCTGTTCATCACAGAGGATCCTGGCTTTGTATTTCCCCAACCAATCCATGCCCAGTACTATGTCAATATCTTTTAAGTCAAATTGGATTAAATCTCCAGGTAGGTTGGATTCAGATATGAGTATGGGAATGTTGGAGTATACATTTCCACAAGTTACAAATTTATCTGAGGCGGTTCTTACATTCAAGTCTATTCTAGCCGTTGGTTCAATCTTCAATTTCTTAACGAAACTAGAAGATATGAAACTGTGAGAAGCACCAGAATCAAATAGAACATAAGCAGGCTCAGAATTTACAAGGAATGTACCTGAAACCACATCATTAGCATTGGCTTGGGCCTGATTCATCACCATGATTCGCCCTTGGTTCGGACGGTTGCCGTTGTTTCCGCCGTTGCCATTGTTCCCGCCATTGCCATTGCCATGATTATTCTCCCCTCCTCCTCGAGGGTTGCGGTTGTTGTTGGCGGCGGCATTGTTGTTATTCTGTCCTCCATTTGGCCCAGCTTGGTTCATATCTGGCCTTCCTCCATCACGGTATTGCACCTGGTGCACTGGTGCCCCATTGGTCTTTGAGAGACACTCGAAGGTTCGGTGCCCTAGCTTCCCACAATTGAAACATTTTGTCAGGCTTCCATCGCAATTAACACCAGGATGATCTCTCCCGCACCTCTTGCAGTAGAAGTGTCTATCTCTGGGAGCAACTCTTCGATCATTTTGTTGGTTTTGACCGTGGAAATTTCTTCCACCTTGGTCATCTCTCCTCCTCCTCCCTTCTTGTTGCTGTGTAGGTGGGTGCACTCTGACCCTCTTTTCTCCTCGACCTCCATCTTCGTCCCTCTTCATCTTCTGGTTCCTCTCTCTTTGTAGTTGCTGAACTCGATAGTGAACTGCAGCTCTATCATAAGCTTCAGTCAGAGTTTGGCAACCCAAAACAGCGACGATTTTCTGCGTATCATAGTTTAATCCGTAGATAAATTTCTCAACTTTGGTGCTTTCATCAGGCACTATTGTTTTCGCAAATGGCGCGAGGTCCACGAATTTATTGTGATATTCCTGGACACTCATGCCCATCTGTTTCAAATGTATGAATTCATCACGCATGGTGGCCTGAACGTGTGCAGGATAAAAACGTTTCCTCATGGCAATCTTGAAAGCTTCCCAATTGAAGTCAGGTTGTTGACGTAAAGTTGGGCCTGATGAGACCCACCAGTTATCTGCCTCTTGCTGTAAATAGTAAACAGCAATGTCAACCCTTTGCTCTTCCGGACAGCTCACCGCGTCGAAGAGTTTGTCAAACAGTCGGAGCCAATTCTCGAGGATACGAGGATCTTCTTGCCCATGAAAGCTTGGAGGGTTGCGAGATGCCACTCGTTTTGCGGCATCATTCCCGTTGTTCTGGTTTTGGTTGTTCTGGAGCACAGTAGCACCCAGTGTGTGCATAAATTGTGCCAGTTGCTGAACGCTTTGTGCCAACTCAGCATTGGTGGGCGTGTTATCAGGGTCTCTTCTTGGTGCCATGATATCTTGATGACACAAAGTATTCGTGTAAGAATTTCTATATTTTACTCCTAAGGATCCTAGTTCAACTAAGGATTCCATAGGCTATGTAACAAGAATATATAAAAATGTACATAACAATCATACAGAGGATTCATACTTCACATAAGATCACTTTCGCACATAATGTTTGTACATACCTTAGCCACTTAGGAATTTTGCCTTATGAGGCATTCCATTTAGCATTTGGGGTTCCCATTTCTCATATGGGCCCACAATTAGCATAATTATCACATACATGATACATGTAAGGAAAATAAATACTCACAAGGTCCTCACCACGTTCCTAAAAGGCCATTTCCTAGCTATATTATCTTTCCTAATTTTAAAAATATTTGAAAATCTCCCTTTTGAAGGTACAATTTCAAAGGTTTCCTTCAACGATTTCGAACGACGAAGTTTCAGCACAAGGAGAAATTCCCAGGTAGTTGGACGAGCGCAAAGGCTCAATTAAGAACCAACAGCCTTAGACTCTTATCGTCTTGGTGACAGAATTTCTCCATACAACCTATTACCTCGTGTTCTAATCCCTTTGGAAAACCTAAGTCTCTGATACCAACTTGTAACACCCCCATTTTTCCCACCAAAATAAAATAACATTTTGAAATGAAAACATCTTTATTATAAAATATATTTAGAGTACAGCGGAAGTCTTTAATGGAAAAACAGGTGTGTCACCGCCACACTCAACCTATACATGATTGAGTGCACAGGCTATCCACCATAAATTCAAGTAGCCATCGGGTAAAACTTATAACAAGTTTATGGATTACAAATTTAAACAATAACAATTAATCAAACGTGTGCAACTAGCGGAACACTCGGGCAGCAAGTACATCAATCTTCATAATCATAATCATCTGTACAATAGAGCAAAGAGAAAAAGAGAAAAAGAGACAAAAATTAGCTTTAGAGCTAAGTAAGATTCCACCCGAACCCGTAAAATAATATAATTTGGAAAATAGGTTTTTTGTATATGTATATATATTGAAAAGTAGTCTCTCATATTTCCAAAATGGTTTAATGTCATAAAATAATTTCCACAATAGATAATATCATCCTTCAATTCCTCCAAAAGTAATACTTTAGATTCTTTTAAGAGTGGGCGAAACTCAAGATTCCTCGAGCCCAATGAGTCGTTGTTATCTATGACTCATCCCGGAATTCCGGCTCCCACCAACCACCAATTGGAAGCTGAATTTCTACCTTAAGTGTGCACACCCTCTAAAAGGGATTCCAAGCCCTCCGAGTAGTAAGAAACCCAAGTAGGCAGGATGTTTTCTACCACCTACTCACAATGGACATTGTCCAAGGGTAAATTAGGTAACTACTACTACGACCACCAAAGGATCTTTGATCCTCAAATAAAAGCCCGGAATGTCTACCGGAGTATGTCATTGTCGGACTGGTTACCGACCCAAATAAATTTCACCAAAAGTAGTAGTAGTCCTAACCACCCACGCCTCGTGTTTCTCTCGAGACGTAAGAATATATATTATGAAAACTTTAAGTTTTCCCCAAATCATTCTTGTCACATTTTCTCAAAATATCCTTTGTAATAAATGTAAATCCACCAATATTCTTTAATAAAAAGAATATACATTTAATCATCCATAAAAGGTAATAATCCACCAATATTCATATAGTCAAAATATTCGATCCATGTCAAACATATAATTTCCGATTCATAAATAATTCACATAGTGCAAATATTGCATACATATAATTAAGTACGAGGCAAAACATTTTGGTTGACATAGAACTTACCTTAAATTGCGATAATCTCCTTAATAAAATCTCTAGCTTGATCTTCACTTGAATTCTCCTTCTAATATTGATCAAAATTCTAAATCAATAACTATTCTATTATTTCGTTATTTCTTTTATATCCAACCTTTAATTACTTTAACTTCATAATTCCTTCTTTAAATATAAATATTAAATTAATAAATCTTACTAACTGTTTATTTCCAGTTCATTCTTATTATTTTCTTTAATTATAATAACCCAACTCGGTTTTTCTTAATTTGTTTGGTTAAATAGTTAACTAGTCCAATTATATTACTACATAATAATTTCATTATTTCGAATTTAGATAATCAATTTCAGTTCAAAATTCAGTTTACATAATTTATATAATTTATTTAATAACCCTTTTAATAATAACTTGACTTAGGCAATAATTCGAAATAATAATCATTAATGATAATCTAATCTCAATAACAACTTTAATTAGTTCAATCGTTTATTTATACTAACTAACCCAATTAAATTAATTTATCCAATCCTCCAGTTTTATTTATTTGACTCACTAATTTAATTGAACTAACTAAATCAAATAAATAAGTTTAATTATATCAATATAGCTAAATACGTTAATCTAATTCAATTAAGTCCAATAATCAAATTCTAATCTCGTTTTAATTTTCTATTTTTAATATAAAGTCCAGAGATGTTATCAAGTCTATAAATTAACTAATTTATCCATTAAACTAATTGATTTAGTTAAACTAGTCCAATGAAGTCAATTAACTAACTTATTAAGTACACATTACTTAATTAATTTGTTTATATTCATCAACTAATTTTTATGAGTTCAAATAGTTTAATAATTTATATGGAGTCCAAATCACTAATAATCAAGGATAATAATTATTAATTTAATCACGCTAATTTAATTAGTCAACTAATTCAATAATTTATTTATTAAGTCCAAATATAGTCATTCATTTATACTAGATAACCCAACTTTATTTTCTTTTCCTTATTTTATTACAAACATCATTTTTAGTCCAGAACATTATTTTCAATCTTAGTGATTTATTTATTTCACCATTAATATCAAAATTTCCTTATTTAATTACTTAACTAGTTTATATGGCTCAATTAAATTAAATAACTTAATCATCACTTTTATAAATTACTAATCATCCATAACTATAGTTTGGGTCTATACTAGACCTAGGTTGTCCAGATATTTATTTTAGAATTATTTCCTTTATTTATTCACTTAATTTCATATATCTATTAACCGGTTTAATTACAATTAAATATGCTAATTATAATTTTTATTAATTATAAATGGTCCCAAATGTCCTATTTAGTCATATATTTAATCTAGCTTGCACCCATATTTATTTCATAATTATTTTCGTCATTTAGTTAATTATTTACTAAATGTGTACAACTTGGCCCAATTACAATTAAATCAATTAAAAATAGCTACAAATATTATTTTTCAATTATTCTTGGTCCGAATATGTATTTTTATACCAGGTATTTAATTTATATTTTTCCAGATTTTATTTATTTCATTTACTATTTTATTTTTAATTTTTTATTGAAAACGGGCCGAACCGGCCCAAATTCGCGACCCGGCCCAAGAAGACTGGGTTGTCTCCTTCCCAGCTCTTCTCCAGGTCGCGATTCCGGCGACCGGAATCCCGAAAACTCCGGCGAGCGATAACTTTACTTACAGGTAACGGATTTCGACGATTCCAGTTGCAAAATGATCCTCACGTCGAGGAGAAGCTCCGCCACCCCTATCTACGGCAAAATCGTGTCTTTTCTGAAGACCCGTTTCCACGGCTTGCAACTCCGGCGACCTCTAGGATGCTCCGGTGACTACGAATCGGTCTGGAATTTATTGGGAAGTATTCCTAGACCTCTCACGACCCTCCTCTCTTGCTTATAGGCAATTTCTTACGTAAATATATATATATATATATGTGTATATTTCCGGCGAGTAAGTATATATATTTGCTCTACTCGTTTTCTTAAGTTTTGTAGTGATTTAGAATGTCAATGGAGCTGTATTTATAGCTGTAGATCGAGCCTTATGGAGCTGGACGAGTTGTGTGAATTATTGTGTGAATTACTTTGATAAAATACATACATATTCATAATTCAATGTATACACATTATATGGTAGGTGTGAAGTCATGAAGTTGTTTCCTAGCATGTGAATATGTCCTCCAAATCTTTGTTATGATTTTCTTATCAAAATATGTATTAATATGTGTGTGTTTTTGTTGTAGTGTATATATATATATATATATATATATATATATATATATATATATATATATATATATATATATGCATGTACGTACTATATATATATGTATATATTACTTATATGTAGTTATATATATAGTATATTACTTATATATACTTATAGTTTATTCATTTGTATTGTATTTCTTTTATTTCATTAATGTTTATAAAGTTACTTGTAATTATTTTATTTATTTCCATTTACTCTGACAGATATATTTTATCTGGTTTATTTTTATTTTTATTTTATTTTATTTTTCTGATGCCACATAAGTGTTTAATTCTATTCCATGTAGTGTGCGTATATTTTTATACACCAAGTATAATAAAAATATACTTTGATATTACTTTCATTTGATTTATCAGATATAACTTATCTGATTTGTTTATTTATTTTTATTTCAAATTTCCAAGGTATCACACAACAGTTCTCTAGTCTCTGGTTCCAAAGTTTCACCCTTGTTTCTTTTTGTAGACAATACATGTGTACCATGTGTATCACTAAGAATTTTTTTCATTTTTGAAGGAAGATTACCTATCACACTAACCCCTTTTTCAGAAAAAATTGCTTGTAATGTGGATATTTTTTGTCACTATTGTATGCAATTTGTCTTAAAATGATAAAATGTTTGTGACACCGTTAATTTGGGGCATGTACACAACGTGTACAAGAAAGCCACTTTTGAATAGGATTGTGGATGTGCTCTTAGCCTCTTAGCTAGGTAATAATGTTATGCATTAAATTAAAAAAATAATGTGCTGAGTGGATATATTGACGGTGCTGGGTTGCAGCGAAAAACTGAATTGAATGAGTGAATACGTATAAACAAGTGGAGGATTAGATTTATTGATGGGCAAGGTTGCGGTTAGCCTTACTTCTAGTTAGAGACTAATGTATAAATTATCGATTATTGTTCAAATCTTATAATTTTACAAAGTTATGAATCTGAGTTATTAGCTAAGTGAAGTGAACCTATTTTACAAAAAACAAATACATAAGTATCTAAAAATAAAAAAATGATAGTTATATTCCCTTCGTCTATGAAAGTTGGAAAAGTTTTAACTTGCACGTCATATAATAAAGTAAAAATTATGTAGTTGGAATTTGTGTATAAAAGAGATGAATAACTAATTTATTGCTTTGAAAAGAAACGATAAAACTTTTTGGGATGTAGGAGTATATATCTTTCACTTTAGAAGTGTGTAGACACATGTGCATGTAAATATATATTCTATATTTCAGCACGTTCTACAAAAAGATTATCATAAGTAGCAAATGCACACCACATTCTCTAACAACAAAACTTGGTTAAGTCTTAACTCTTAATATATATAGAGGACTTTTCATGTCCAGCCGGCCTGACGGGAACCGCCGTCCGGTCGAGGGCATTTCGGGCACTTCCCAATGGAATTTTTTGATGAAATTTTTTGAGCATGTTCTTCATGAAGTCTAGTTTATCCATACCAAATTTCAGCTCAAAACTCGATCGGGAAGGCATTCAAATAATTTTGTGAAGTTAACTGGGCAGTTCATACATATAAACTGCCTAGTTAACTTCACAAAATTAATTGAATGCCTTCCCGATCGAATTTTGAGCTGAAATTTGGTATGGATAAACTAGACTTCATGAAGAACATTCTCAAAAAAATTCATCAAAAAATTCCATCGGGAAGTGCCCGAAATGCCCTCGGCCGGACGGCGGTTCCCGTCAGGCCGGCTGGACAAGAAGACTACTCATATATATATATATATATATATATATATATATATATATATATATATATATATATATATATATTAGACTAGTTCTTGACATACTCACTTATAAGACGCCCTTTATTGTGTATATATCCAATAGTGAGTACTGTAGTCATTTTAATAAAAAAAATTGTCAAAGACGGAAATTTAATAAAGTCACCAAAAAGTTGATGATGAAGTTGGTATGGAGAAGTATATTTTCCTGCAAATCATGACCCAAAACTCTGTAGGTATCAGTTTTGAGCTTATGTGAAATTTTTATGCAATATTGTCATTCTTTGCTACATCATGCATACCTCCATTAGTGTTTTAAAAAAACGTTTATAGATGTTCTTATCACAAAAAGATATTTCATATTAAGGTTTAGTTTAATTAAAGCTATTCAAAATTTCTTCTTCAAATCCTTAGAAAAAACGCGGACGTCTTCCTCTCCGTAGGGTTTGGTTTATCCCGCCGTTCGTTTGCGGGTTCTCCCTCTCCGTAGGGCTTGGGCATCTAGATCGAAGGAGGACGACTGCAGATGGAGATGGCTGGAGTCGGTAAGCAGGGGATTGGCGATCAATTTGACGCAGACGAGGAGAGTCGAGCAGTGCAAGGCATGGACAACGTGGAGAAACTGATTGGTCTCTCCCTGTTAGGGTTAACAACTTTTCCGCATCGCCTTTTTCAATTCAGCGAAGTGAGGCTGTGACGATGGGCAAATTCCAAGAGCAGATCAGCGGTGAACAAAAGGACAAGAACGAATTGGCGATTGATGATGAAGAGGCGGTCGAGTCGGAGGAAAACCGCTTTGGTGCAACAACAATCGTTGCGAGGATCCGGCCTCCTCCAGAATCACCGCCAAGGGTTGATCGACGCGTTTGGAGTTTGCTTATTTATCTTTTCTGCATTTTAATTTCCAAGTTATGATGTTTGTGTGTTGTTGTTATTTTATTTTATGCTGTAAGACTCTGGCATTAGGTTTGGGGGATGAGAGGTTTACTGCAATCGTCGTTGGCTTTATATTGCCCTAATTAGGTCTAGCGAGTTATATTGTTTTGTCAAAGGTGATTAACTCAGAGTCTCGGCCAAGAGCGGATGATTACATGTGGTCCTTTTGTTATCTTTCACCCCAGTTGAATGTTATTTTATCAATATAAGCCCGCTTCGATAAAAAAACATTTTTCTTCAAATCAAGATGTCATCAATTCCTTTTACTCCAACCACAAGGTTGATATTTAATCTCTCCCCTGAATCGATTGTGCATTGCAAAACCATAGTGAAATCTACTCTATGAATAAGCAAATGAAACTCAGTGGAGTTTCTATGATTATCCATATGTTCAGCTCAATTGCTCAACTAGTTTATGATTTGATATTTTTAAGGGGTTCAAGGATTTGTATGGATGTACCTTTTTATATCAAAGGTTTAAAATATTTTATTGAAAATTATGAGTTTTGAGATGTATAATAAATGATTTTTAATGCTTATTCAAAATCAATGCATGGAGCAGATTTTCAATATTTTATTGCAAGGGTGAAAATCAATTTGGATATGGAGAAATTATATAGTTTTGCGTTGGGAAAGTTGGCTTTTGATTTAAAAAGGGAAATCATATGTGTTCTCAATGAACTTTCTAATTTAAAAGTATTGGCACAATCTGAATCGAAATGGAATAAATCAATAAATCAATAAATTTATACCTCTTTTATATGACATCTCATAAGTCTTCTCATTTTCTTTGGATGTGAACATTTTACGATTCATATTATTTCTATGTCTCCTAAATAAATTTCAACTACATAATTCTTTTTTCCTAAACTTACTGTCATAGAGGTACATGAGTGAAGTACATCTAAACCAAGTGCACACATAGAGGCAACAAACACAATGTTTTTTTTGGTTGTATATCTATTTAAAATTTTAAATACATATTACCCGTTTAACTTCTATAACTTGCTTTTTTTTTTTGCATTCCAACCATATATATATATATAATCATTCAAAGTATTTAATAATTAGATCAATTTTATGATTAAATTTTACTCTATGCATATCAATGAAAATATTGTTGAAATTCAATTTAAGAAAGTGTATTAAAAAGAAGAACTATGTTACTTGCGCTGCAACATCACCAGAAGAAGTAAAGACATACAAACAAATAAGTGAAGCACACAATCCAAACACCTCTAGTTGTTATCAGCCATGAGGCCATTCACTTTAATTTGAAGTGAAAAATAAAGTTTCAAAAGGAAAGTTGAGATAGCGTTACATGAAAGGTTGTTTTTTAATTGAAGATGACATGATGATGCTTCCACGTTGGCGAACAAATACCATGAAAACATTGAAATATGTTGTCATATATTGGGTGTGACTTGTAGGCAATGCCACACATTATCAATATTTTTAGAAGCTAAGTAAGCATTTGTGGCCTGTTTGGGTATAATAATAACATTTTAGTCAATATGCTGATTTTTAGCTACAAAGCGCTGCACTTTGCAACGTGCATGCACCAACTCACTGGAAAACAAGCGGGGCCTATATGTGATACTTTTTAGGTAGATGAGTTAGGAATGAGTCAACAACAGTTAAAAAGCGAGAAAGTTCTCTAAATAAGACTAAAACATGAAAAAAAATTCATAAATAGGACCATCAATGTTTTATTCACAAAATATGACTCATTTACTCATATTTTGGGAAATTTTAATCAAGTTATTCTTTTTATAGGGCTAAATAAGTCCTATTTGGGGAATAAAACACACTTAAATCTATTTTTGAATTTTGTGAATGTGTTTAATTCTATATTGTGCAATTTCTAAAAAACTTCTGTGAT